GGCCTGGCTTTCGAACCTGTGGGTAGAGATGGTTCAGGCCCTTGAGGAACCTGCCAACCATGGGATTGGCGCAGACAGAGCGGCCATTTGCACCCGGGTGTAAAGCCGAGATGGCTGCCAGGTGACCTCTGACAGAGGATGCCGCCAGGCCCTGCTGTTTTAGGCCCAGGACATGCTCCAAAATGAGCGGCACGGACGCCTGGAGAGGGGGGTGTTGTGCTGAGCGCACCAGCACGAAAACTGCTTCCTCTCAGCTGTGTATGTGGCCCGAGTGGAGGGCTTGCTGCTGCCCATCAGCACGTGCCGTACAGACTCCGAACAGAGAAGCTCTGAAGGGTTCAGCCACGCAGCATCCACGCCGTGAGGTGGAGAGATCACAGGTCGGGATGGCAGAGGCGACCGTGATCCGGAGTAATCAGGTCGGAAAGAGGCGGCAATGGGACTGGAGTGTCCACAGAGAGCTCCAACAGCACAGTGAACCAGTGCCGTCTGGGCCACGCCGGAGCCACCAGACTCACTCGCGCCCTGTCCCTGCGCACTCTGAGCAAGACCCTGTGCACAAGGGGGAAAGGAGTAAAATAGTCGACCCATCCACAGGAGCAAGAAGGCGTCTGTGAGAGCCCGGGGAGCAGCCTTGGAGGGAGCAGAAAGCCGGGCATTTCCGATTGCTGCGGGAGGCGAACAGGTCGACCTGGGGAAACCCCCACCTTCGGAAGATGGGGTGGATGACATCTGGTCGAAAGTGAGCACTCATGGGAGCGGAAGGACCTGCTCAGGTGGTCCGCCAGCGTGTTCTGGACCCCGGGTAGAAAGGATGCCACCAAGTGAATAGAGTGGGCTATGCAGAATTCCCACAGTCGAATGGCCTCCTGACAGAGGAACGGGCCCTCCCTTGTTTGTTGATGGAGAACATGGCCATGGTGTTGTCTGTGAGGACGGCCGCACAATGACCCTACAGCTGCTCCTGGAAGGCTTGACAGGCAAGGCGTACCGCCATCAGCTCCCGGAGGTTGATATGAAGGAAGAGTGCAGACGGGGGCCATAGGCCCTGTGTCTGAATGTCCTTGAGGTGGGCGCCCCATCCCAGGGCTGATGTGTCTGTGACGAGGGACAAGGAGGGCTGAGGGTTGTGGAAGGGGACTCCTTCACATAGCACCTGAGGATCTAGCCACCAGTGGAGGGAAGCCAGGATCTGCTCTGGGATGGTGACCACCAAGTTCAGGCTGTCTTGACCTGAGCGATAGACTGATGCCAGCCAGGCTTGTAATGGGCGTAGTCGAAGTCTGGCATGCATGGTCACGTACGTGCAGGAAGCCATGTGTCCTAAAAGACTCAAGCAACTTCTTGCCGATGAGGCTGGGAAGCTCTGAAGGCTCCGGATGAGGCTCGCTATAGCTTGGAAACGAGAGTCTGGCAGGAGAGCTCGAGCCTGCACAGAGTCCAGGACTGCCCCGATGAATTCTATTCTCTGGGTCGGTTCTAGTGTCAACTTTGCCACGTTGAGGAGGCGGTCTAACGGACAAAACGTGTCCGTGACCAAACTAAGGTGGGACTCCTGTTCTCTGGTGCGTCCCCGCATAAGCCAGTCATCGAGGTAAGGGTATACCTGCATCCGTCGTCGACAAAGGAAGGCCGCCACGACTGCCATACATTTGGTGAACACCCGGGGGGCCGTAGAGAGACCAAAGGGAAGGGCCATGAGCTGATAGTGTTCGTGGTTGACCACAAAGCGGAGGAAGAGTCTGTGCATTGGATGAATCGCTAAGTGGAAATACGCATCCTTCATGTCGAGGGTTGCGCACCAGTCTCCAGGATCCAGGGAAGGTATAATGGTGCCCAAGGAGACCATGCGGAACTTCAACTTTACCATGTAATTGTTGACTCCGTGCAGGTCCAGAATGGGCCAAAGCCCGCCCTTTGCCTTGGGGATTAGGAAATATCAGGAGTAAAGCCCCCTGTCCCTTAGTTTCCTCGGAACCTCCTTGATAGCCCCCATGGCGAGGAGTGTCTGAACCTCCTGAATAAGGAGTTGCTTGTGAGAATGGTCCCTGAAGAGAGACGGGGGAGGAGGGTGGGGAGGAAGAAAATTGGAGAGAGTATCCCGCTTACCGTGCGGAGGACCCAGTGATCCATGGTTATGTGAGACCAAGCACGGTGGAAACGGGATAAATGATTCAAGAAAGGTGGGATAGGATCCTGAACGCGGTCTGGTACATTGTCCTCAGGCGTCCCTTCAAAAGGTTTGTTTTGAACTGTCGAGGGCTTGGATAGGCCCTGGCCCTGCCCGGACTGGTGGTTGGGGGTTTTCCCCCATCTCCTATAAAATTCCTGCCTCGGCCAAAGAGGGGGATCGGAGCGCTGTGGAGGCTGCTGGGCTTTGAAGGGTTTCCGCTGGGTAGCTGGTGTGTGCATGCCCAGGGACTTCGTTATCGCCCTTGAGTCCTTAAGGCTCTGTAGCCTTGAATTGGTCTTTTCTGAAAACAGGCACGCTCCATCAAAGGGGAGGTCCTGCAATGTTTGCTGAAGTTCCGGTGGCAGGCCGGAGGCTTGCAGCCAGGAGATACGCCTCACTGTGATCCCTGAGGACAAAGTATGTGCGGCGGAGTCCGCAGCATCCAGCGAGTCCTGCAACGAGGTCTGTGCCACTGTTTTGCCCTCTTCCGCTAAAGCCCCAAACTCCTCTCTGGACTCAGGAGGTACTAACTCCTTGAACTTCAGCATGGAGTTCCTCTGCCTGCAGGCTCATATTCCGCGCCACCCTGCGCAGGAGGTCCTGGTGGGCGCGGAGGTCTATCAGAGGGGGACCCGATACTTCAGTGCCTGCCACTGCCTCGTTGGGTGAGGAGGAGGAGGAGGCCACAGGAGGAAGAGGGTCATCTGGGGCCTCTTGTGGAGCTGGGCCAGCGACCTCAGGGCCAGCGACCTCCCTGAGTTGGAGGGAGACCTGAAGCAGGGAGAGAAGCCATCATGGTCTCCATACTTCCAAGGGCAGGTTGGCTGGCAGTATCCTCTTGCACTCATGGCTTGGACAGGGCTGATTGAGAAGTCCCAGACGGAGCACCCTGGGCCTGGTGGTACGCCCAGGGCATCCAGAACAGCCATTGAGTGGACTCTTGAGCAGGACCTTGCTCCTGCGCCTGCCAATGTCCGGCCCCTGAGTCCAGGTGGCTGTGGTCCAAATGGCGGTGTTCCAAGAAACGCGACCCCGCCTCCGATCCTGAAGAACGAGAAGCGGAACGTGATGGCCAAGGGGCTGCCGAGCGGATCTGCGCCAAGTCATGTTGACGAGGCGATGGAGAGTGGTGCTGCGATGCTGGGGAACAGTGCCGCGACCTGGACCGGTACTGGAATCTGGAACAGTACCTGGATCTGGACTTGGGCCGAGATGATGACCGGCGTCGAGAGCGGCGTCGGGACCGGGATCTGCTCCTCGACGGCGGATGGAGCGGTGCCGAGATCGGTGTTGGGAGTTTGAGCGGGGTCGTGAGTATGACCGGTTCCGCGAGTACGACTGGCGTCGCGACGGAGAGCAGGACTGCGAGCGGCGTTGGGAGCGGGAACGGCACCGAGAATGGGATCGGTGTCGCAGCTCGACCGACGGCGCCGGCGGGTGGATGAGCGCTGGCTTGCCCCTGGATGGTGCCACATGTACAGGTGAGACTGAGGGGACGCCGATACTGTCAAGGCAATAAGATCCCTTGCAGACGCGAAGGCATCTGGGGTAGAGAGCAACCGGACCTCAACCACGCTGCAAGTCGGGGAGTCCAGGGGCACCGGACTCAACGGCTCTGACCTTGGTGCTGGAGTCAACGGTGCCAAAGCCGCAGGTTGTCCCCTAGACGCTCCCTTGCGGGATGTGTCTCCGCGGGCGGTTCCAGGGAGGCTGGTCTTTGCTGAGGTGGGCCAGTCTTTTCCGGTTTCCGGTGCCGCTTCTGGCCAGGAGAATGGGAGCGGTGCTGGGCTGATGGTGCCAGGGAACATTGTGCTGCGGGTCTCGGTCAGAGTCGCTGTTCCCTCTAAGCTGTGGGTGTGGGCGTGCGCACACAGATCCCAAACCCCGCGCACACGGCAAAACACCGCACGAACAAACATTGGCACAGAAAAATTCTTTTGCGCACACGGCCTGTCAAAAATTAGAGGGAACATTGGTCAGAGTCCAACTGCGGTGCTGTTCCTACCGCTGCCCCTGGAGGGCCGTGCCCCAAAGCGCTCGATGCTGGATCTTGGTGCGCTGCTGCAGGCTGAGGGCTAAGAGGAGCTGTTTTAAACGAAAGTCCTGCTCCTTCCTAGTCCAGGGACAAAACCCTTTGCAGATCCTGCACTTCTCTGCTTGGGGGGGAGGGATCGCTCAGTGGTTTGAGCATTGGCCTGCTAAACCCAGGGTTGTGAGTTCAATCCTTGAGGGGGCCATTTGGGGATTTGGGGCAAAAATTAGGGATTGGTCCTGCTTTGAGCAGGGGGTTGGACTAGATGACCTCCTGAGGTCCCTTCCAGGACTGATATTCTGTGATTCTATGAGGCTCCCTCAGACACGTCAGGCAAGAGTCATGGGGGTCGCCCTTTGGCCTGGGCTTAGAGCAGGAACCGCAGGGCTTGAATCCCGGAGCCTTGGGCATGAGCCCGAGAGAAGAATCAGGGAGGAGGGGAAACCCTACTAACACTAACAACTATAACTATTAAACACTGTAACTACAACTATTAACTTTGAACTATTAGCAAAACTATGAGGTATACGCTAAGGAGAGTGGAGAGCAACGAAGCAGGACTCCACAGTTCCAAGGACTGTCACGGGCAGTAAGAAGGAACTGAGGGGCGCTGGGGCGGCTGGGGTATATATTGAGCGCCATGAAGGCACCACTCCAGGTGTTACCCGGGGTTCTTTCAACCCAAAGCTCTTGGTAACTTTTACTCAGTGCGAGGTGGTGTCAGGGAATAAATCAGGGGAGACACGGCCATCCGACCGATAGATGGCTGGCACAAACAGGACAACACAAGAGTGCTTTCACTTAAAGCTAAACTTTACTTAGTCTCAAGCACTTACACACGTCTGCAAAAAGTTAGTAAAACACCCCCAACCCTTGATAATTACCAAAGCTGAGTGTGGCTCTCGAGTGGCACAGCGGCAGGCTTCCGGTGGCCAAATCTTCCGTCTGCAGGTGGGGACTGCAAGATGTATCCAGAGGGAGAGTCCAAAAGGAGTCCAACTACCTCAAACTTTCCCCCCTTATTTATACATTAGTAATAGAATGACATGTCCCTTAAAGAAAACTTGTTAAGTAAGCAGTTTCAATAGTCAAGCAAGAGGTTCCTTCTGATTATCGATTAACCAGGTGTGGGTTTTTCCAGAGTTTGCAGCCTTGAGGCCCCAATAGACATTCCTGGGGTACATCCTGCTCTTCGAAAATGCATGTATCAGCCACTTCAACACAATTCTTATCAGGAAGGACACGGGGTCAAGCTGCCCTTTCTGTGGCACCCAAAACTCCCCCCCCCCACTCCTGCCTTGGTCAAACTGAGAGTGCTGAATGGCCAATTTACAGCCTGCTGGCTTGGCTGCTTTTAGCAATAAGCCATAGTGGTTTCAGGCACTTTACTGGTTTGCCAAAGTCTCCCCGTACACAGGGGGCTCCACAGCCAACCCACTGGGTGTTGCTAGGGTAAAAATTCTCCGACGGCCGTGCACGCAGCGCGCACACCTAATTGGAATCGATACGAGCAAGCACTCGGAGAAGAACAGATATTACTGGGTGGGGGCTGCGCAGGGCTTGTGTCCCTGGCCCTGCCATGCATTCTGGGGTGCCCTGCTCGCATTGTGCACCATTGGCTGCTGGCTTCCCTCCGCCCCGATGTATCCAACCGTCTCCAGACAAACAGCCTGGCAGTGGATCAGCCCAGAACACAGCTGCCAACTTTCACGTGGTAAATAAGCACCCCGACTGTCACAATAAGCCAAAAATCAAGCTACTCCCATTTCAAGACAAGGCCAACACAGGCCAATCCCCAAGAACCCCTCTATGTGACTAGATCCCCCTGACATGCAGTCTGGGTCTGTGGTGGGCCCGCTCTGCACCCCTGACTCTCTCCTCTGCTTGCCTCTTGCCCCTGCTTGCCAGGAGCTAATCAAAAAAAGAAGCAACAAGCTACAAGCCAAACAAGCTACAAGCCAACAAGCAACTCACAAGCCAATTAAGACAAAAACAAGCCCAATTTCTGCTTTTTTTCCCTAAGGTTTGGCATGTCTGGCCCAGAAGCTTTCCACCTCTCGGAGAGGCTGGAAATGACCCACCCAATCTCAGTGCTTCCCCATGCCACCAGCTCTGTGTGGGCGAGATCTTCTTCCGGTCACGCCAGCGGCGACCCTTCTCTCTGCTGAGTGCTGGGGTCAGGGGCCTTGCCCCATTCCTGCCAGCCATGTAAACCAGATAATGAGGAGTGGATCAGGCCACATTCCTCACCACAAAATCCCTCTTATTTCAACAACAAATTAATGAATTAAAGGCACAGCAAGTATCGGCAGTTGCCACAGGGTGGAGGACACAGTCGAGGTAAACTTGCAGTTAACTCACTGGGCAGGGGACTTGGTGACATGGGTGGGGATGGCTTCAGAAGGCTAACATGGGGAGAAGTGTGTGTAGGTACTCAAAATGCTCAGTTAATAATGTTGATGGCTATTATGAGAGATGCTTGGTCAGAACAATGGCCTTCAGTATTAAATCGGGAGCTAGCCCATATTTATTCACAATTGCAAAAACATACCCATCTACCTGGAAAATAACATCCCCGACCTGTGGGGACAGTTCTTGTGTAATTGTTACTATGATACCATGGGAAGGAAATGCAAATAAGGTGGTTCCCTTGAATCCTATGGGACAAGTATTTGGCCGTGCAACCGTTGTGTGCAAATGGCTGCGTGGCCCAATCCCATTGCAGGAAAGGTGACTATTCTCTTCCCTTTAATTTCAGGAAAGCCATGTGGCTAGACCACTGGTTTGCTGGGTGACCCTTGGACTTTCCCTTCCCGTGCCTCAGTTTCCTCATTGGTAAAATGGGGGTAGCCATGGTGCCCATTGCAAGCGCTTTGAGATCTATGGCTGCAGAGCTCAGTGGCACAGTCGTTCTGTGCGTAGCTAGACATGAGCACGCTCTGAAAGTGACCCAGGCCCAGAAAGGTTTGCGGGATTGTGTGAGTATCTGGATTGTGACAGGACCTGGGACTCCACACAATGGAAAGGCAGCCCCCCCACCCACGATTTGTGCCAGTTTAGTGAAACCAGCATCACCCCCATGAGGACACGCTGATTGCATGTCAGCTTGAACCGGTTCCCAATCCACTGGGAATCCCAATGGTTTCGCTCCATTTAAAGGGCACAGCTCTCCCGCAGGCCCATCTACCAACCCACCTCGGGGGCGAGAATCTTCTCCTTTGGGCTCACGCGAACTCTGGGCTTGGTGAAAACTGATCACTGCCCCCCAAACCCCGATGTGCCAGAGAAGCAGACGGGTTGCCCTGCCCCAGAGCAGGCCCTAGTGGGAATTATACCCTCCCTCAGGTGGCCTCACCTCTCTGCCCCCAGGGGAGATGACCCGATGTGACCTGGGAGTGAGCGCAGGGGGCGAGCTGGTCCTGCAAGGGCCTGATTTGGCGTGGAGAGACCTGGGGGAGGGGGCGACCTAACACCAGCAGGGACTGGGCAGTACAAGAGCTGCCTTCTGCTCTTATTGCTCAGTGGTCAGTGCGTAGGACAGGGAAGCCAGACTCCTGGTTCCGTTCCCAGCTCTGCTGCTGACTGGCTGCCTGAGCTCACCCGAGTCATTTCTGCTTTTTGCGCCTCAGTTTCCCCAACAAATCAAGGGGCGGGACGGCAGCCGAAGCCTCTCCAGACCCCGGGGGGAAGGAAGAGCTGCTGGCCCATGGCAGCAGTTGGATGGGGGGCAGCATGGCATAGCAGTGACGGCACCATGCTGGTGCTCAGGAGAGCTGGACCCATTCGTAGCTCTGCTGGGTGAGCTGGGCCAGGCTGATAAGACTTGACTTATCCTCGCCCCACCCCTGAAATGGACAAGGACCACCAGCCTGGGAGACTAAGGGGGCTGGGGGCTAGAACACCCCCAGAGCGCGGCCCCAGTGATCCCCATCCAGACAGGGGTCGCACAGGAATGCTCGTTACTACACACCCTGGTTCTGTTTTGTCAGCGTGTTTATTGGTGCTGTGAGCACAGGGCCCTGCGGTCCCGGTGCCGAGAGCTCCCTGGGGCAGGCCTGGCTGGCCATGGCACTGGAGCACGGGGCTCATTCATTTCTCCAGCACCCCTGGGGCCAACAGGCACTAGAATCGAGATGCCGGACCCAGCCCGGCTCCGAGGGGGCGGTTCCACCATGCATGTAGGGCAGATCCAATGGGGTTCAGCCGGTTCCCCCACCCAGGACACAGGGCGTCCCCTAAAGGGCTCAGTGGCACATTCCTGCCTGGGTGGGGGCATGGGGCCCGTGGCAACCTCTCAGGGACCAGACCAATCCCGGTGTCCTCCGGCCACGGCCCCAGCTGCCAGGTCCTGTGCTGTTTGCTGGCCAACAGCCTGGCACCTTCAACCAGCCACCTTCAACCAGCCACAGAGCTCCCTTAAACAACAGTCTGCCTGGGTGTGAGCCCCCCCAGGAATTGAGCAGCTCAGCCACCCACAGAACGGAGGAGAGGGGACCCCAGGGGCTGGGAGTGGGGAAACGGGGATGGGGGACCCTGGGGGCATGGAAATCAGGGAACAGGTGGATGGGGGAGCCAGGGGGACTGGGCGCTGCGGGACCCTGGGGGCTGGGGGGGCTGGGTGTGGGGGGAGCCTGAGAGGAGGGGGAGCAGGGGAACTTGGGGGAAGGGAGGCTGGAGGACCCTGGGGGCAGAGTGGCTTCATGGGGCCTGTCAGCACCAAGTGCACCCTCCAGGCATTACGAGGCTGGGCGAGGCTCCTCCCGCCAGGCTGTGCCCAGGGCTTCATCTGCCCCAGTTCCCAGGAGCCCCCAGGCCGCCCAGCTCAGGATCCCCTACCTAGCAGCCAGCTCCTCCGGGGGGCACCAGTGCTGGGCCCTGGCTGCTGGGGGTGGCTGGAAGCGGTAGGGAACAAACCCGCTCCGCAAGTCTGTCAGAGCTTGGGGTAGCCGGGTCCTTGCTCCCTGGGGCCAGAGCCTCCAGCTCCCACCAGCCAAGGTGCCGCAGCTCCCCATGGGGCTCACACCCAGGCAGCTCCCGTCCAGCACGGCCGCCACGGGGCCTCAGCGCTTCGCCCGCCGCTTCCGCAGCTCCTCCTGCACCCGCTGCCTCAGGGCCTCATGCAGGGGTGGCTCCAGCGGGCTCTGGGCACAGACCTTCTCCGTCACCTCCTCGGGGCTGTCATCCTGCAGCAAGAGGGGCAGGGCCCGCGGTCAGCTCCGGAAACTCCTGCCACCCAGCTCCCGGATGCGCCCAGCCCTCCGTCCCAGTGGAGCAATTTCAGCTGAACGCCAGCTCCCTGCACCACCCCGGGCAGCATGTGCCAGGGCCCCAGCACGCCCCAGCTGGACAATTCTCCGTCACTCTGTGCTGGCTGCAGCCTCTGCCATGGGGTCTGCGGGTCCAGGCCCGTTTGTGGGAGGGGAGGGCTGCTGGGCCGGCAGCTGGCATGTGAAGGGAGAGGGATCGGCTGGTGCCTTCTGCCCCTGGAGAGTCGGGGGAGCAAGGGGGAGAGCGCAAGAGATGGGGAGACACCAACAGGATGGAGGGACCGCACAGAACACTGGGTGCGCCCCCTGCTGAGCCCCCTACCCTGTGACAGCGCCCCCTGCTGAGCCCCCCGCCCCACTCCCCATGGCGCCCCCTGCTGAGCCCCCCGCCCCACTCCCCATGGCGCCCCCTGCTGAGCCCCCTACCCTGTGACTGCGCCCCCTGCTGAGCCCCCCGCCCCACTCCCCATTGCACCCCCTGCTGAGCCCCCTACCCTGTGACTGCGCCCCCTGCTGAGCCCCCTACCCTGCTCTCCACATCATGGAGCCCCCTGCTGAGCCCCCCGCCCCACTCCCCATTGCACCCCCTGCTGAGCCCCCTGCCCTGTGACAGCGCCCCCTGCTGAGCCCCCCGCCCCACTCCCCATTGCACCCCCTGCTGAGCCCCCTACCCTGTGACTGCGCCCCCTGCTGAGCCCCCTACCCTGCTCTCCACATCATGGAGCCCCCTGCTGAGCCCCCCGCCCCACTCCCCATTGCACCCCCTGCTGAGCCCCCTGCCCTGTGACAGCGCCCCCTGCTGAGCCCCCCGCCCCACTCCCCATTGCACCCCCTGCTGAGCCCCCTACCCTGTGACTGCGCCCCCTGCTGAGCCCCCTACCCTGCTCTCCACATCATGGAGCCCCCTGCTGAGCCCCCTGCCCCACTCCCCATGGTGCCCCCTGCTGAGCCCCCCGCCCCACTCCCCATGGCGCCTCCTGCTGAGCCCCCCCCACTCCCCATGGCGCCCCCTGCTGAGCCCCCCCCCCCACTCTCCACATCACGGTGCCCCAGGCGGAGCGCCCTCCCCGCTCCCCACAGCACGGTGCCCCCTGTCGAGCCCCACACCGTGCTCCTTGCAGCCCAGGCCCGAACACCTCGCTCAGTCATTGGGGTCAGCTCCCTACTAGCTCCCACCCCCTGCCTGGTGCGCCAGGCACACACCTGGTGCACAATGACCGAGGTGACCTCGCCGCTGTCAGCCTCATACTCGAGGCAGAAGAGCTCTGTGCTGCGGGGGTCTGGCTCGGTGCTGGAGCTGCTCTCGCTAGACCCCTCATACTCCAGGCCGCAGGCTGGGTCCACTCGACCTGGGGAGCAAAAGGAAGCTGATTAGGAGAGTGTGGCCAGATGGTGCCTGCGCCCACCCAGAGAACACAGGGCCCGGGCACAGCAGTCTGGAAATGGAGTCCCTGAACCCGGCACCAGGTATCTGTCAGATTTAAGGGGTCTTGGTCTAACGCCCCTCACTCCCGACCCGCAGCCCCCTGCTAGCCCAACCCTGGGCTCCCCCCAGCTCTCCCTGTGCCCCTCACTCCGGACCCACAGCCCCCTGCTAGCTCAGCCCTGGGCTCCCCATCACACAGCCCTGCCGGTCCCCCTCAATCCTGACCCGCAGCCCTGGGCTCCCCATCACACAGCTCTGCCGGTGCCCCTCAGTCCCGACCCGCAGCCCCTCAGAATCCTGCTAAGCAGAAGTGGCCAGTTGTGATCATCTTTGGACTGCGATGGGCACCAGCTAGGAGGCCCAGAGCCAGGTCCCGCGGGCGACCGTCACTGAGATTTGGACCCAAGGCTCCAGGCGAAGGGACCGCGTGGTTAAACCCTTGCTCTGCGGTGCTGCCAGTGACCAAGGAAAGGGCTGGCCAGGCCGGTCCCAACCTGATCCCTTGGCCTGGCCACGGCCCAACTCTGGCTGGTCAGTCAGCCACCCCTTGGAACGGACGCCCATTGCACCAAAGGCGCAGACGCGGTGCTGGGGGGAGCCTGGACTCGCCTCCACCAAACTCAGTGACTTGGATCAGCGCGGGAGCTAACAACGCCTGGCGGCCCCCGCCAACACCAGCTGAGGGGGGGCACCCCCGCTCTGCTGGACACGTGCCACGTCCGCTCCCCAGTGGGAGCGCAGAGGGCAGGGCACCGGCCGTGCTCACTTCTCCGGCAGGGGCGGTACACCTGCTGGTCAGGTTTCCTGGGCCGGGGCGGGGTTGGCGTGTGCCTCTTCTTCACCTTCTCCTTGGCCTGCTTCATCTCCCGGTCGTAGTCGTCCCTGATGGGGAGGAGAGTGAGGCCTGGGGCTGCGGCTGGGGATGGGGCTGGCGGGGCTGGGAGCCGGGACAGGCCTGCCTGGAGATGCCATTGATTCGTCAAGCCTAGGGGGTGCACATGGGGTGGGTTCGCATAGGTCTGGTGGCAGGGCGAGGGGCTGGTGCGGTGGGGGTGGGGGTGTTACCTTCCCCATCTTACCCTGTTCTCCAGTGGCCCCCCTTATAGGGTCTGCAGAGGGGAGTGGGGGATAGGCATCTACCCTTTTCGCCTGGCTGGAGAGAGGCATCCCACTTGCTGTTTGCGTTAGCAGTTGCCGTCCCCCCCGTCCCCGTCCCCGCCCCCGCCCCCCGAGACTCCACCACTGAACAGAGAACTGGCAGGCACATAGATGCCATGCCAGTAACCCAAAATGTGCCCAGGGAGGGGCAGGCATGACCTGGGAGGCGTCAAACTCCGACCCCCACAGCCGGGGTCTCCCAGCCCTGCACCCAGTGAGGGTCCAGCTCCCCCAGACCTTTCCGGCCTTATACAGGCAGGGCTGGGGGGCACCCAGCCGGAGGTGCGGGGGGGTCTGCAGGGCTGGGAGCTCCAATGTGGGTGCGGGGGTTCTCTGGGGGCAAGGACCAGGAGTCCCAGCCAAGTGGGGGTGGGGGTCCGGGGCCGGGGTCAGGTACTTGGGGGCGTGTCCGCGCCCAGGATCCCGCACCTGGAGGGGGGCGGGGTCTGGGCCAAGTTCAGGTACCAGGTGGGCGGGCTCCGGTCCCGGAGAGCGGGGTCGGGTGCCGAGGGATCCGGGGTCCAGTCTCGGGGAGTTCGGGGGGGCGGGGACAGGGTCCGGTCCCGGGAGATCCGGGGTCCGGTACCGGGGAGCTCGGGGGGCGGGGTCCGGTCCCGGGGAGCTCGGGGGGGCAGGGTCCAGGTCCGGTTCCGGGTCTGGTCCGGTCCGGTCCTGGGGAGCCCGGGGGGCGGAGTCCGGTTTCGGGGGGGCGGGGTCCAGGTCCGGTCCCGGGGCGGGGACAGGGTCCGGTCCGCTCCCGGGAGATCCGGGGTCCGGTCCCGGGGAGTTCGGGGTGCAGGGCCGGTCCCGGGGCGGGGACAGGGTCCGGTCCGGTCCGGTCCTGGGGAGCTCGGGGGGCGGGGACCAGGGCCGGTCCCGGGGCGGGGAGATCCGGGGTCCGGGCCCGGGGGTCCGGGCCGGTACCTGGCGATCTGGTTCCGCCGGATGTGCCGCACGAAGCCGTGGCTCATGTCGAGCCGCCCCCCCGGCCGGCAGCCGCCCCAGGCCGGGCCCCGCTCCGCCTCCGGCCCCGCGTCCATCGGCCCCCGCCTCGCCCAGCGCCGGAGAGCGGCGGCGCCGGGTCCTGAGACCGCCCCCGGCCCCGCCCGGCCGAGCGCGGGCAGCCGCGGGAGACGGACCCAGACCCGGGCCCCCGCCCCGGGCCCAGCCCCGCGTCTCCCCCACAATCCCCCAGGGGCGCCCCCTGCACCCCCTGGAGCGGAGACCGTTCAGCCTCCGCTCCACCCCGCGTGTGCCCCACGCCGCTCCCCAGCGCCGCCGGCCCCGGGCCCCTTCGTGCGCGATCAGCCCCTTGCCCCCCACACCGAGCCCTGGTCCCCTTTCCACTGCCCCCTGCCCAGCGCCGCCGGCCCCGGGCCCCTTCGTGCGCGATCAGCCCCTTGCCCCCCACACCGAGCCCTGGTCCCCTTTCCACTGCCCCCTGCCCAGCGCCGCCGGCCCCGGGCCCCTTCGTGCGCGATCAGCCCCTTGCCCCCCACACCGAGCCCTGGTCCCCTTTCCACTGCCCCCTGCCCAGCGCCGCCGGCCCCGGGCCCCTTCGTGCGCGATCAGCCCCTTGCCCCCCACACCGAGCCCTGGTCCCCTTTCCACTGCCCCCTGCCCAGCGCCGCCGGCCCCGGGCCCCTTCGTGCGCGATCAGCCCCTTGCCCCCCACACCGAGCCCTGGTCCCCTTTCCACTGCCCCCTGCCCAGCGCCGCCTGTACCCGGGCCCCTTCGTGCGCGTTCAGCCCCTTGCCCCCCACACCGAGCCCTGGTCCCCTTTCCACTGCCCCCTGCCCAGCGCCGCCTGTACCCGGGCCCCTTCGTGCGCGTTCAGCCCCTTGCCCCCCACACCGAGCCCTGGTCCCCTTTCCACTGCTCCCTGCCCAGCGCCGCCGGCCCCGGGCCCCTTCGTGCGCGATCAGCCCCTTGCCCCCCACACCGAGCCCTGGTCCCCTTTCCACTGCCCCCTGCCCAGCGCCGCCGGCCCCGGGCCCCTTCGTGCGCGATCAGCCCCCCGCCGCCCACACCGAGCCCTGGTCCCCTTTCCACTGCCCCCTGCCCAGCGCCGCCGGCCCCGGGCCCCTTCGTGCGCGATCAGCCCCTTGCCCCCCACACCGAGCCCTGGTCCCCTTTCCACTGCCCCCTGCCCAGCGCCGCCGGCCCCGGGCCCCTTCGTGCGCGATCAGCCCCTTGCCCCCCACACCGAGCCCTGGTCCCCTTTCCACTGCCCCCTGCCCAGCGCCGCCGGCCCGGGCCCCTTCGTGCGCGATCAGCCCCTTGCCCCCCACACCGAGCCCTGGTCCCCTTTCCACTGCCCCCTGCCCAGCGCCGCCGGCCCGGGCCCCTTCGTGCGCGATCAGCCCCTTGCCCCCCACACCGAGCCCTGGTCCCCTTTCCACTGCCCCCTGCCCAGCGCCGCCTGTACCCGGGCCCCTTCGTGCGCGTTCAGCCCCTTGCCCCCCACACCGAGCCCTGGTCCCCTTTCCACTGCCCCCTGCCCAGCGCCGCCTGTACCCGGGCCCCTTCGTGCGCGTTCAGCCCCTTGCCCCCCACACCGAGCCCTGGTCCCCTTTCCACTGCTCCCTGCCCAGCGCCGCCGGCCCCGGGCCCCTTCGTGCGCGTTCAGCCCCTTGCCCCCCACACCGAGCCCTGGTCCCCTTTCCACTGCCCCCTGCCCAGCGCCGCCGGCCCCGGGCCCCTTCGTGCGCGTTCAGCCCCTTGCCCCCCACACCGAGCGCTGGGTCCCCTTTCCACTGCCCCCTGCCCAGCGCCGCCTGTACCCGGGCCCCTTCGTGCGCGTTCAGCCCCCCGCCGCCCACACCGAGCCCTGGTCCCCTTTCCACTGCCCCCTGCCCAGCGCCGCCTGTACCGGGCACCGGGCCCCTTCTGTGCATTCAGCCCCCCGCCCCCCACACCGAGCCCTGGGTCCCCTTTCCACTGCCCCCTGCCCAGCGCCGCCTGTACCCGGGCACCGGGCCCCTTCGTGCGCGATCAGCCCCCTGCCCCCCACACCGAGCTCTGGGTCCCCTTTCCACTGCCCCCTGCCCAGCGCCGACGACACCCGGGCACCGGGCCCCTTCGTGCGCGATCAGCCCCCCGCCGCCCACACCGAGCCCTGGGTCCCCTTTCCACTGCCCCCTGCCCAGCGCCGCCTGTACCCGGGCACCGGGCCCCTTCGTGCGCGATCAGCCCCCTGCCCCCCACACCGAGCCCTGGTCCCCTTTCCACTGCCCCCTGCCCAGCGCCGACGACACCCGGGCACCGGGCCCCTTCGTGCGCGATCAGCCCCCTGCCCCCCACACCGAGCTCTGGTCCCCTTTCCACTGCCCCCTGCCCAGCGCCGCCTGTACCCGGGCCCCTTCGTGCGCGATCAGCCCCTTGCCCCCCACACCGAGCCCTGGTCCCCTTTCCACTGCCCCCTCCCCAGCGCCACCTGTACCCGGGCACCGGGCCCCTTCGTGCGCATTCAGGCCCCTGCCCCCCACACCGAGCCCTGGGTCCCCTTTCCACTGCCCCCTACCCAGCGCCGCCGGTACCCGGGCACCGGGCCCCTTCGTGCGCGTTCAGCCCCCCCGCCCCCACACCGAGCTCTGGGTCCCCTTTCCACTGCCCCCTGCCCAGCGCTGCCCTGTACCCGGGCACCGGGCCCCTTCGTGCGCATTCAGGCCCCTGCCCCCCACACCGAGCCCTGGGTCCCCTTTCCACTGCTGCCTGGCCAGCGCCGCCTGTACCCGGGCACCGGGCCCCTTCGTGCGCGTTCAGCCCCCCGCCCCCCACACCGAGCCCTGGGTCCCATTTCCACTGCCCCCTGCCCAGCGCCACCGGTACCCGGGCACTGGGCCCCTTCGTGTGCATTCAGCCCACCGCCCCCCACACCGAGCGCTGGGTCCCCTTTCCACTGCCTCCTACCCAGCGCCGCCTGTACCCGGGCACCGGGTCCCTTCGTGTGCGTTCAGCCCCCTGCCCCCCACACCGAGCACTGGGTCCCCTTTCCACTGCCCCCTACCCAGCGCCGCCTGTACCCGGGCACCGGGCCCCTTCGTGTGCGTTCAGCCCCCCGCCGCCCACACCGAGCGCTGGGTCCCCTTTCCACTGCCCCCTACCCAGCGCCGCCCTGTACCCGGGCACCGGGCCCCTTCGTGCGCGTTCAGCCCCCCGCTGCCCACACCGAGCGCTGGGTCCCCTTTCCACTGCCCCCTGCCCAGCGCCACCGGTACCCGGGCACTGGGCCTCTTCGTGTGCGTTCAGCCCCCTGCCCCCCACACCGAGCCCTGGTCCCCTTTCCACTGCCCCCTACCCAGCACTGCCCTGTACTCAGGCACCGGGCCCCTTCGTGTGCATTCAGTCCCCCGACCCCCACACGGAGCTCTGGGTCCCCTTTCCACTGCCCCCTACCCAGCGCCGAATGAGGCGGGGGGGGTTGACGCCAGGGTGAACCCTCCACAGGGCAGAGCCCGTGCGTCAGGCGGTCCGCGTTGGATACTGTATCTGTGCACAGGGAGGTTATGTCACGGCACGGCTGCCTTGAGCCTGGGGGCTCATGGGGTCAGTTGAACGCCCAGAAATCAAGAGCACCAACCCTCAGTGGTGCTGTGACCTCCGGTTTGGCCTGGTTGCCCCTCCGTCGGTGGCACTGCCATCCTGTGCGCCAGATTACAAAGCGGGGAGCCAGGCCGGTAGGAGCTGCTGCCCCAGGGTGAGTGTGGGGCAGACATAGCGCACCCACTGAATCTGGAGGCTATGGCCACCCGGCATAAAGGCAACTCGGTCTCAGAACTTGTCTACACTCAGCTGTAGCACTTCAGTGTGGACACTACCCACCCCACAGGAGGGGCTCTCCCGTTGGCCACCTCCCCACGGGGCAGTAGCTACGTCCCCAGAAGAATTCTTCCATCCATCTAGTGCTGTCTACGCTGGGGGTTAGGTTGGCTAAACGACCTAAGGGCGGGGGGGCAATGTGTGGTTTTTCACACCCTTGAGTGAAGTCGTTAAACCAATTTAATTTTCTAGTGTAGACCAGGCCTAAATCAAAGCCTCTGGGTAATGCCAATGCTAAACAATAATAGATTTGAGAGACCAGGTGAGGGAGGTAATATGTTTTATTGGACCAGCTTCTGCTGGGGAGAGAGATGAGCCACACGGAGCTCATCTTCAGGTCTGGGAAACCAACTCAGAACATCACAGCTAAATACAAGGTGCTAAAGAATCGGTTCCACCCTGTATTTAGCTGTGATGCTGGAAGTGCCTTTCCCAGCCCTGCAGAAGAGCTCAGTGTAGCTCGAAAGCTTGTCTCTGTCACAGAAGTTGGTCCAATAAAAGATATTCTTTCTAATCTCCTGGGGCCGACAGGGCTGCCGTGCCTATTGCTGTGTTGGCAATTTCAGGCCTTCATAAATGATGAGCTTGGCTTAACAATCAGGAGATTCTAAAACTAGTAACTGCTGCAGTTGGTCTCCGTGGCCTTGTGGCTTGTCAGGCCTCGGGATTCATGTTTTCTGGCTTTTCTCCCCACCCACAAGGTCTAGAAACCGACGTGCTTCCCCTGAGAGCCCAGATTTTCACCCCGTCACTGGACTCCAGGAGCTGGGGCTTTGGGAGGCGTGCCAGGGGCGCAGAGATCAGACACAGGGGCAGGGGCAGGGGAAGCCCGACAGGAGCGGAGGCAAGGGGCAGCAGCGCAGACACCTGCGGGACAGAGGGAGGCCGCACAGCCCCAGGGTGCCATTGCCAATAATCGCTGCATAAAGGAGACACTGTCTCTTTAAATGGTAACTCCGAGAAGAGCGGCGGTCGGCCCACCCCACAAACACGGAGCGGACAGAAACCAATGCGCCTGCGCGAAAGGACGGGTGGCCTCTCGCTGTAAGAGTGCGCAGGCGCCAAACTGATCCTCGCGCCTCCCTTTGGACGGCTGTGCGCATGCGTCTGTTGCTGCACATGCGGGTGGGGGAGGGCAAAGGCGCCGGGGGCCTGTGGGCGCGCGTGCGCAGCAGCGCTTGGACGCGGCCCGGGATGTCCGGCCGGGTGAAGCGGGAGCGGGAGGCCCGGGCGCCCCCGCGGAGCTCGGGCCGGGTGAGGCGGGAGCCGGCGGCGTCGCGCGGCTCCTCCCGAGGGAAGCGCGAGGCGGAGCCCGAGCGGGTCCGGGTGAAGCGCGAGCCCGAGGACGGGCCGCCCCGGGCCAAGCGGGAGCGCGAGGCCGAGGCCGAGGAGGAGCCGGAGCCGGAGCCGGCAGGTGGCGGCGGGTCCCCGGGCCGGGGCTGGGGGCGGCGGGTCCTTGAACCGGGGCTGGGGGCGGCGGGTCCCCGGGCCGGGGCTGGGGGGCGGGTCCTTGAGCCGGGGCTGGGGGGGCGGGGGTCCCGGGGCCGGCGGGGGTCCCCGAGCCGGGGCTGGGGGGGCGGGGGTCCCCGAGCCGGGGCTGGGGGGGCGGGGGTCCCCGAGCCGGGGCTGGGGGGGCGGGTCCCGGGGCCGGCGGGGGGGGGGGGTCCCCGGGCCGGGGCTGGGGGGGGCGGGGGTCCCGGGGCCGGGGCTGGGGGGGGGGGGGTCCCGGGGCCGGCCGGCGGGGGGGGCGGGTCCTTGAGCCGGGGCTGGGGGGGCGGGGTCCCGGGGCCGGCGGGGGGGGCGGGTCCTTGAGCTGGGGCTGGGGGCGGGGGTCCCGGGGCCGGCGGGGGGGGCGGGGCCGGCGTCCCCTGGGGGGTTAGGGGAGCTCTGCGGTGGAGAATGGGGATGGGTCAGCGCTGGGCACCCCCAGCCCATGCTCTCGCCTCGCTGGCTTCGCAGCCCCGACGCCCCGGGGCCAGAGCGCTCTGCTGGAGCCGCGTCTGGCTGGGCCCTCGGACCCCAGCTGCCGCAGGTAGCGGAGAAGCCGAAGTCGCTTTGGCGGGGGTTGTCCGAGCTGGGTTCTGTTCTAGCCCTTGCCAGATCCGCTGACCAAACTCGGATCCCTTCCCCAACGTGGTGCCTTTGCGTCCCTGTGGTTGAGGTGGGGTTGGTGATGCTAACCTGGCTTTGCCCTCCCCAAGTGCGAAGTTCTGAGCATTGTGGATAGAAGGTTTGATTTTTAGGAGGAAATGCTTTCACCCAGGTGAGGAACAAGGGGGAAGAGGTCGTTTCTCAAGCTAGTTATCCCAGTTCAGGTTCTTTAGTCAGTGTAACTGGTGCTCTCGGGTAGGCAGCCCTTGCAGAGTATGGAGTGCTGGTGTCATGCTCCCAGCAGCCTGCATGGGTTATTTTCTCCTGAGGAAATGCTATGTGGTTTTGGGGTTTCTCCCTTGCTTTTCAGTGGCAGGTACCACTTCAGGAAAACTGTTAATTTCCTTAGACCTGGGAGTGATGCTTGAGTTGTTTCTAATCCATTTGTGTGGGTCTTTGTTCCAGTGAGATATGGCCGATTTGACCCCGAGGACCGGCGCAGCAGACACTGCCCATACCTGGACACTATTAACAGGTCAGTATAGAGACAAAGCAAACACTTGTAACACAGGGCATGGCAGAGTACTGGCCTAGTACAGTGGTTCTCAGCTTTTCCAGACTCCTGGTACCCCTTTCAGCAGTCTGATTTGTCTTGCATATTCCAACTTCACCTCACTTAAAAACTACTTGCTTACAAAATCAGGCATAAAAATACAGAAGTGTCACAGCCCACTAATACTGAAAAATTGCTGACTTTCTCATGTTTAAATCAAATGTAATATAAATATTGTATTTACTTTACAAACAAGTCATTGTCTGTTTGAAAAAAGAAAAGGAGGACTTGTGGCACCTTAGAGACTAACCAATTTATTTGAGCATAAGCTTTCGTGAGCTACAGCTCACTTCATTGGATGCATTCAGTGGAAAATACAGTTTGAAATTTTAGTTTGTACTGACTTCGCTAGTGCTTTTTATGTAGCCTGTTGTAAAACTAGAAAAATATCGAAATGAGTTGATGCACCCCCTGGAAGACCTCTACGTACCCACTGGCCTAGCTCTTGGTTAGTACTAGATACATAAATGTCTGTGAATGTATTAGGCCCTATCTAGTGCCTACAAAGAACCACAACTGTTTCTGGAATAGCAGTATCTGCTCAAGATTGGAATAGTAGCTGTTGCTATAGGGCAGGAGTGAGCTGCATCCGCAAAGGTTTAATAATGCCAGCAGGAGGAGCAGGACTGGAATAGCAAGGGATGATGCATGTCAGGATTGAGATGCAGTTCTGATTTTTAAAATATGAGATCTTAGTTCCTGTGAGAGCCCAGAACCGGGAGGAAGGGGCTCTCTCATATCTGAGGTACTGTCACGTGCAGCATGGTACCAAGCAGCCTTCCAGTACTGTAGTGTGGGTCACACGTGATAATTTTTCTATTGCACATGGTTCTCTTGAGTTCTGTCAGATTCATGAGAATGTAGGATTGGAGGGAACCATTGGGTAGGCAATATTTGTCTGACTGTTTCAGGGTAGCTCTGCTAACTTGCTATTAACCTGCCGTTTCAGGAGTGTTCTGGACTTTGACTTTGAGAAGCTGTGCTCCATCTCACTCTCGCATATAAATGTCTATGCTTGCCTGGTGTGTGGGAAATACTTCCAGGGTGAGTTCACTGCTGTGCTGTATACCTGCCTCTGCAGCAAACAGAAGCATTGAATGGGGGTGTTACCCCGGCTATTTGAACACTTCGGGGTTCACTTAAAGAGAAGGACATTCCATTTGTCTTAAGTGGGAATTGTCTTTTGCCTTTTCCTGTGGGCCCTGAAATTCTAAAGCTATTTTACCTTCAAATCACTGTCAGAACGTGGCAGATCCTGTTCTTAACCATTGCTGTGGCTTGTGCAGGGGATATAGTACATGTGAGTGGCTGGAGGTCAGTTCTGCATGGATTTATTGCTCGTCTAAACACGTGTTTAGGTGCTGTTCTATGGTTCCTTCTTTTCAAAGTCCCCTTGAAATCAACATGGCCAGTGGCTTATTTCATTTTACTGAAGCCATGTGCTGTTTATAAGAAAATGGTGTGGTAAGTAACTGAATGTGGGGAAACTAATTGTCAGTGTTGCAACAAGGCTCCCATTTTAACATTGGCAGGAATCCTCTGACTGGATCCCAGGGTTTTTGTAGCTAAATCCCACCCTGCCTTTATGGAAATTTACCTCCTGAGCATGTGTAGCTGTTTCAACATTTATTTTCCTTCAAAATACCCCCCCAAAAATTGCAGTTACACCTGGGAATAGGCCTCAGGTGGGTTAGATGTTCAGCAAAAGTGTCTAAAACCGGAGGATTCTAATGTATTCCCCCTGAATAAAATTAACAATGAGGGTGGGGTGTGGAGGTCTCTGGGATTCTCTTTTTGGATTGTAAACTTGTTTTACTTGATCTGTAAAGCACCATGTGCACCCATGATACGATACAACCATTTCCCCACCATCCTCTGTCACCTCTCTGCTTGAGGAAGGCTATGTATTGCTTTCCCAGAGTTCACTCTTGCCTTTGAGAGTCTGTGATTTCCTCCACTTGTTCCTGTTTCTAGAGGGCTGAGCAATCTTCCTCTAGCGCACAGCCAACCTCTCTCTAGGGAGGGAATGAACTGAGGTGAGGTGTCGGTAGCAATGCAGCATGCTGCACCTCTGTAGTGGAGATATCATTAAAACAATTGCTGCAGTCCATGCTGCTGCTCAGCACTCGCAGAAGGCAACATTTTTCTCTTAATAGTTCACATAGTTTCCTGAACATACGCCAGTGAAGGACAAAACCAAATACTGCTCAAGGTATAGAGAGCAAACCCTGGAAATTCTGTTTGTCCAGCTCATCAGTTGCCTTTGCAGTGAAGTTTAAGCCATTGGACATCTAGTCCGTGCTGTCCCTTTGGCTTCTGTTGCTGCGCTCCATGTTCCTGACCTGCCTTTTTTGTCCCTTCCACAGGCCGTGGGTTGAAGTCTCATGCTTACATTCACAGCGTACAGTTCAGCCATCACGTCTTTCTGAACCTCCACACGCTCAAGTTCTACTGTCTGCCAGACAACTATGAGATCATTGACTCCTCGCTGGAGGACATCACTGTACGTTGCCTTCTGGAGTTTTGCTGTCAGTAGTGCACAGGCAGAGGGGAAGGGAGGAAGGTGACTCCCTCCTCTCACATTGGAGGGCATAAGAATGTGCTCTTCGAGGATACAGTTCAGTTTGTACCTGCATGGGCACGCTGCCTGTTGTACTGTGTGGTCCAGATATGCACCTGCCCATTGATTTCCATGGGGACAGGATAGACTTGGTCAGACCAGAAGAGCTGGTGGAATTGCTCCTGTAACTCACTGTGTGTTTGGGGTAGAAGGGCCTGAATTAGATGGTTGCTTGTGATGCTGTATGCAGAGTACGGGCTGGATACATGTGTCCCTAGGCCCAGGAATTTTTGCAGTAGAAAGGAGCAGTCTGCCAAAGGCATCAGCAGGATATTGTGGGAATTAGGGGCAGAGCTGTTATGAATGAAGCATTATCGGAAGAGGAAGGATGGGGCAGTGGCTAAGGCATTATCCAGAGACTCGGGTTCAATTCCTGCCTCAGACTCCGTGTATGACTTGGTCAGTCATTGAATCTCTCTGTGCCTTGGTCCTCGTCTGTAGCTTAACCTAGCCCTGGTCCTTCGCTTTCACGCAGCACTGCTGTTGATCCCTGTCAAACCCCTTCACCTCCTCTGCAATTTTTTGTAGATGTCCATGTTTCTGCAGCTGGTCTGGAGCTGTCTCTGCACAGCCTCTTTGCCCCACAGGCCCAGGAGATTCAATACCTCCTGCCTGCTCCAGGAAGGAGTGTGTCTAGAGTGTGTAGCCAGTTTGGTCAGTCGGACAGCTGCACACAACAAGGGGGAACTGTGAGGTGTGCTCGCCAAGCCAGACAGTCGGGGAAAAGCATTTTGAAAATAGGTGGGGTGTTTTAATTGGGGTGTGGCTCCCGGTTTCCGTGACTTTTGATACGGTCTCCCACAGTATTCTAACCAGCATGTTAAAGTAGTATGGGCTGGATGAATGGACTATAAGGTGGATAGAAAGCTGGCTAGATCGTCGGGTAGTGATCAATGGCTCCATGTCCAATTGGCAGCCGGTATCAAGCGGTGTGCTCCAAGGGTCGGTCCTGGGGCCGGTTTTGTTCAGTATCTTCATTAATGAACTGGAGGATGGTGTAGATTGCACCCTCAGCAAGTTTGCAGATGACACTAAACTGGGAGGAGTGGTAGATCTGCTGGAGGGTAGGGATAGGATCTAGACAAATTAGAGGATTGGGCGAAAAGAAATCTGATGAGGTTCAACAAGGACAAGTGCAGAGTCCTGCGCTTAGGATGGAAGAATCCAATGCACTGCTACAGACTAGGGACCAAGTGGCTGGGCAACAGTTCTGCAGAAAAAGACCTAGGGGTTACAGTGGACGAGAAGCTGGATATGAGTCAACAGTGTGCCCTTGTTGCCAAGAAGGCTAATGGCATTTTGGGCTGCATAAGTAGGGGCATTGGCAGCAGATTGAGGGACGTGATCATTCCCCTCTATTTGGCATTGGTGAGGCCTCATCTGAAGTACTGTGTCCAGTTTTGGGCCCCAAATGACAAGAAGGATGTGGAAACATTGGAAAGAGTCCAGCAGAGGGCAACAAAAATGATTAGGGGGCTGGAGCACATGACTTATGAGGAGAGGCTGAGGGAACTGGGATTATTTAGTCTGCAGAAGAAAAGAATGAGGAGGGATTTGATAGCTGCTTTCAACTACCTGAAAGGGGGTTCCAAAGAGGATGGATCTACACTGTTCTCAGTGGTACCAGATTGCAGAACGAGGAGTAATGGTCTCAAGTTGCAGTGGGGGAGGTTTAGGTTGGATGTTAGAAAAAACTTTTTCACTGGGTGGGTGGTGAAGCACTGGAATGGGTTACCTAGGGAGGTGGTGGAATCTCCTTCCTTAGAGGTTTTTAAGATCAGGCTTGACAAAACCCTGGGTGGGATGATTTATTTGGGGATTGGTCCTGCTTTGAGCAGGGGGTTGGACTAGATGACCTTCTGGGGTCCCTTCCAACCCTGATATTCTATGATTCTAGACTACTGGGCAGTGAAGTTCACAATTGTGACTAGAGCAGTCACTTGTCAGGTGTTGCAGGATAGCTGCTGGAGGACTGTAGGGGTTGACCTAGATTGCACAATGTGTACACTTGTACTGTTTCAGCCTCTGTAGGTTGACCATGGCTCAACACCATTCGAGGAGGTGGTTTTACTGCATCACTGTAACAGTGCGATTACATTGTTGGGAGACAAATCTGAATGTAGACACTTACATAAATAGGTCAATGCAAGGTGGCTTACATTGGTATAACTATAGTCATTAGGTATTTAACCTTTCATGTCTGAAGATGCTGACCATCCTAATTGTCCAGTGTGATCTGCCCCATGAGTCCCTAGGCCTTTCAGTGTTGGGTATGTGTCTTTTCATGCCAGGGTACTGGTGATGTTCTAGGGGCACTTTGAGCTTACAGATGTCTTTACTTCAGTTACAGGGAGGACTTTGCATTCTTCACACTGAATTTTAAAAATACAGATTTTCTCACTCTGTTTATTTCCCTTTTTGCATTTTCCTTGCTTGGCCAGAGCAAATTAATGGAATCTGTTCCACTTCCATTTATCATCAGTTTCCCTTTAGACACTGCTGCCCTAACGTTTGTGCTGTAAATGCTTTTGGGCATGTATATTATTTAAAACTGTTTCCAGTGAAATTTAAAAGACAGGAGGAAACTCATGTTGGTCTTACATTTTGTTAAAACCTTATTTTTTCAAAATCTTAATTCTGATCACTTAGAATTGGGTGCCCCTTTCAAGTGATAAATTAGTTGGAATAAACCTGTCCTGGAAATATCACCCAGTAATAAATATGGAACATGGTGCTGGAAGTCAGATCCCAGGAGCTGATGTAAAGAAGCTCTTAATTCTAAAGATGACTGGCTTACTACCTTTCTTTTTCAGTATGTGTTGAAGCCCACTTTCACCAAGCAGCAAATTGCCAATTTGGACAAACAAGCCAAACTTTCGCGGGCATATGATGGCACCACTTACCTGCCTGGCATTGTGGGGCTGAACAACATCAAGGCCAATGACTATGCCAATGCAGTACTCCAGGTACAATAGCTGTCATCCTGCAATCTGTGGGGAGAAGCATAAAGAGTGGGCAAACTATGTGCATTCCCCCCCGCCCCAGAGGTTCTACATTTCACACCCACCCTCCCTCGTGATGAGTGGAATGATGTGTCCACTTTTCTTTGCTCAAGATGGACTCCTGATTGCATGCTGAGATTTGTACTCTCTTTGGCCTGTGCCTCTGTGGTCAAAAGGAGTGTCTGCAGCTTGCTCCATTGTAAGCCAGTTGGACTCTTTCTCTAGGTTGGCCAAAAACTGGGTCTCTTAGATTTAAAACCTTTGTTTAGTTAATTGCTGGGGAATTCCCACGTGCAAAGCTAACTTAACGTGGGTCACATCAGTGTCTGAGTGGGAGAGCATTGTACAAATGTGTCTGCTGGCATGGTGCCATGCTTTTGAGAACAATTGTGGGGCTTTTCTTCCCTTTTAATTTAACTGTATCGTAAGTACTGAAATAATAAATTATTCCTACAACAAAATATGGCAAAAAAGATATTATCTATATACGTTCTCCAAAGTTACCATTGATCTAGATCTCTGTATATAGAGCCAAAATATTAAATTATCTTGCATGAGAATTTGAATCTCTGCAGATTTTCTCTGCCCCTTATCCTCATGTCCTGTGGGAGTACAAGGGAATCCTTCACCTGAAGCATGTTTCTACAGGAAGCACAATCCGTTTATCGGCTTGTACTTAATCAGTCTTCATTGGCTTGGAATCAAATCAGGCTAGAGGTTTGGAGAGCTCTGGACCTTCTGTCTGTGGGCGTGCTGGGCTGAGTGATCGCTTTGCCACTGACCTTTGAATGTGTGTGCCCAGGCCCTGTCTAACGTCCCACCTCTGCGGAACTACTTCCTGGAGGAGGAGAACTACAGGAACATCAAGCGCCCACCAGGGGACATCATGTTCCTGCTCGTCCAGAGGTTTGGAGAGTTGATGAGGAAGCTGTGGAACCCCCGAAATTTCAAGGCTCACGTCTCTCCCCATGAAATGCTGCAGGCCGTGGTCCTGTGCAGTAAGAAGACCTTCCAGATTACCAAGCAAGGTGAGACCAAGGGGAGATCTTTAGCACGCTCTTTTCCTTCAGCCATGCAGCAGAGCCCTAAAACATGGTTGCCTGGAGCAGTGGTTTGCACACTGGGAGGGTGGGTTGCACTGGGAAGGGGATTTCATGCATTATCTGCAGTGTGACACTGCAGAGGGTAAAGCAGAGCTCACACTCATGCTAGTCTGAGGTCCTGGGTGATACGTGTTTGTCCCTGGGCCAGGATCAGAACAATGCTAGATCAACGGACCTGCGATGGATGAGAGACCCGAATTCTTGCAAAACTGCAGGGCTGAAAATGAATGCTTTTTACCACTTGCAATCTGCTCTTCCTGCCTTGTATAAAGCATTCGTTCCTAGCCCTCAAGGTCTGTGAAGCAATGGACTTCAAATCACATCTTGATTTTTCTCTTTGGATTTCCTCCACTTGGATTCTAATGTGATTCTCTCCTGAGTATGAAATGGACATTCTGTGCTGTCTGAATGCTGAGAGCAGCCAGCTCTGTGACCCTCCCAGCCCCAACTGTGCCAGGATATATATGTGTACTGCAGTAGCACCTAAGTCATGGACCAGTCCTCCTTCGTCTGAAGTGCTGTACAGACATAGAACAAAAAGGTGGTCCCTGCCCACAAAGGCCTTACGGATAAGTTTGGGACAGGAGACAGCAGGTGGGGACAGACAGACAGGGAAGCATGAGGAAACAGTGAGCTAATACAGACCAGCATGATGGGCCGTGGCTGTGGCATGCCAGGTTCCTTATGGGGCAGCAGTATGAGGTTGAACTGGCAGAGCATTAAACACTTTTCATTGTGATTGCCGTCATGAGGTGCCAGATAACAGGATACGGGGAAAGAAAAGGAGGACTTGTGGCACCTTAGAGACTAACCAATTTATTTGAGCATAAGTGAGCTGTAGCTCACAAAAGCTTATGCTCAAATAAATTGGTTAGTCTCTAAGGTGCCACAAGTCCTCCTTTTCTTTTTGCGAATACAGACTAACACGGCTGTTACTCTGAAACCCGTCAGGATACGGGGAAAGGAGTTTAACTCACTGTCTCTGTGTAAACTCCTTCAGTGTTGGTTTTCTCTATTGCTTTGTTGCCCTGACTCATTTTCCTCAGTGTCTTCCTGTCTTCAGGTGATGGCGTTGACTTCCTCTCCTGGTTTCTAAATGCCTTGCACTCTGCTCTTGGTGGGACAAAGAAGAAGAAAAAGAGTAAGTTGGGGAAATGATGGTGTTTCTGCAACTGCTGCTTCTTTAACCAGATGTTAAATCATGTTTGGCCTAGCATGTGCTGATGTGGATTCTCTGGAGAATAGGTGTCCACGAAGTTAACAATTTTACTTTGCTTGTTAAAAAAGAAAAACCAAAAATAAATCTCTCAGCTAAGGCCTCCCCCCCAGATTCCATCCTAAGATACTTGGTTTGTTTCAGAGGCAGGTGAGTTTCCTGTGCCCTCCTAATGCTTGTTTCAAACAGCAGCCACAGTGTAAAAGGAGAAGAGATATTGGCATGTATTCACAAGTTAGTTGGAATATTTACAATTGTAAAGAGTCCAAAATGAACCAGGCTTTCAAAAATAAGATGACCACTTTGAAGTAACTAAATCCAGATAATAAAAATCTCATCTGTGGTAACTAAGTGGGGTTTCTAGCACATCCTCTTTCCTCAGACTTTGTATTCAACCCTCCCTCCACCCCCCAAACCCCTGCACCAGCCCACACAAAACTCCTACCAGAGCAAAGACTTCCTCAGCTTGGCCCTTTTGTCTCAACTCTCCAAGTTAGGATTCCTCCCACTTCAGATGGAGCTGCTGAGCTCTTAACCCTGGTTAAACCATCTCTTCCCCATACAGATTCCAACTGAAGATGCTGGCTTCTTTACTTCAGAGTCCTAAAGTAATCTTGGTGATTTCAGCAGTGCAGCCAGCGGCTCACTCCCTGGCACCTGTCTGTTAGCCACACGTTCCCTCAGCATTCTCTTCTCTAATCGTTCAGTGCAGTGTAACAGTCAAGGCAAGAAACCCATGACAAGAAAACCACGTCCAGCAATCTGTTTCCTGTGCAGCTCTTGTACATTTCACACTTTCCTCTGAACGTGCTGTTTCTGCATGTGCTGGTCTCAGGAGCTTTCTGTCTTGGGAATTTGCACTGCCCCAGCAACTGGGATGCATCACAACTGGCTTTCAGACCAGAGCCTTCTCTTCAGAGCTCTACTTGATCACTTGTAACGGTTTTTTGCTCTGTGTGTTTTCACAGCCATTGTGACCGACGTGTTCCAAGGCTCCATGCGGATCTTTACCAAAAAGCTTCCACACCCTGACCTGGTGAGTTAACTTGGTCCTGACCTCTCTGGGTTTGTGCCCATCCTTCACACAAGGAAGGTCCAGGAGCAGCGGATCCCATGGTTGCATTGGGGGGCGTGCCACACATGCACTCCCCAGCAGGCCTGTTGCTGTACAGTTCCTGGGCGTTACTGCTTGTGACTGGGGGCCAGCTATTGTCACTCAGTTAGGGTGAACTGCAAAGAATGGCGCAGATAATCCCCATAAAGCTGGTGGATATTCATGAATCTAAGTATTGGAAGCCAGCATAAAACAGCTGCCTTATTACCTTACTTGTTACTCGAAGTCCAAACAACACAGTTCCCTTAATGTGATCCAGCCTCAGGCCTCCATCCAGGCACCTACATAAAATATGATGAAAATTTCTGTAAATCTTATTTCATCATATAAAAGAAAAGGTTCTACCAATCCCAAAGGATTGGACGCATTACCTCCCGGGTTATTAAATGTTTCAGATCTTACCCAAATACACACTATAGCCAATTCTTATTAACTAAACTAAAATTTGTTAAAAGATCAATATACATACAGACATGAGTTCGCAAAAAGAAAAGGAGTACTTGTGGCACCTTAGAGACTAACCAATTTATTTGAGCATGAGCTTTCGTGAGCCACAGCTCACTTCATCAGATGTGTACCGTGGAAACTGCAGCAGACTTTATATACACACAGAGAATATGAAACAATACCTCCTCCCACCCCACTGTCCTGCTGGTAATAGCTTATCTAAAGTGATCAGCAGGTGGGCCATTTCCAGCACAAATCCAGGTTTTCTCACCCTCCACCCCCCCACACAAATTCACTCTCCTGCTGGTGCTAGCCCATCCAAAGTGACAACTCTTTACATAATCAAGTCGGGCTATTTCCTGCATAGATCCAGGTTTTCTCACTTCCCCCCCACCCCCATACACACACAAACTCACTCTCCTGCTGGTAATAGCTCATCTAAACTGACCACTCTCCAAGTTTAAATCCAAGTTAAACCAGAATATCTGGGGGGGGGGGGGGGGGGGGGGTAGGAAAAAACAAGAGGAAACAGGCTACCTTGCATAATGACTTAGCCACTCCCAGTCTCTATTTAAGCCTAAATTAATAGTATCCAGTTTGCAAATGAATTCCAATTCAGCAGTTTCTCGCTGGAGTCTGGATTTGAAGTTTTTTTGTTTTAAGATAGCGACCTTCATGTCTGTGATTGCGTGACCAGAGAGATTGAAGTGTTCTCCGACTGGTTTATGAATGTTATAATTCTTGACATCTGATTTGTGTCCATTTATTCTTTTACGTAGAGACTGTCCAGTTTGACCAATGTACATGGCAGAGGGGCATTGCTGGCACATGATGGCATATATCACATTGGTGGATGTGCAGGTGAACGAGCCTCTGATAGTGTGGCTGATGTTATTAGGCCCTGTGATGGTGTCCCCTGAATAGATATGTGGGCACAATTGGCAACTGCTGCAGTTTCCACGGTACACATCTGATGAAGTGAGCTGTGGCTCACGAAAGCTCATGCTCAAATAAATTGGTTAGTCTCTAAGGTGCCACAAGTACTCCTTTTCTTTTTGCGAATACAGACTAACACGGCTGTTCCTCTGAGACATGAGTTCAATTCACTGAGGTGCAGATTCATAGCAGAGATGGCGAGCTTTGTAGTTGCAAAGAGTTCTTTCAGAAATAATTCATAGGTTATAGTCCAATGTCCAAATATCATATTCAGGGGGTACCAGCATAACTGGGACCTCAGTCTTGCGACTCAACCTTCCCTAATGAAACCTAAGCAGATCTGAGATGACAGAATCAGGACCCAAGGATCTTTTATATAATTTCATGTCTTTTGACAAGTTGGAGTTCAAAAGGTAATTAGCATGACTTTGAAGGAGGTCCATCACTGGTACTTAACTATAGAATTAACATAAGGCCATTTGCTTTTTCCTCCACCATTCACAGATTATTTGCTATACATTTCAAAGAGAGATGAATACAGAGATATCCCCTGTTTACAGTTCATTTAAATGCTAGGATGTTCTTTCCATCTCTGAATTATCAGAATACAGCAGAGATAGGGACTGTTGGTTACATTGTCAACCCTACTCATACATATGTAAATACACAGAAACACAAACATTCTCTCCCCACATGTCTTTTGACGGTTATTTATTTTGCAGGATGTTTAACCCTTTCTAGCCATGCATGCTATAGGAAATTCTAGTGGAGGCTGCAGAGGCACTTAGAGGAGCTACAGAGAAAGCAGATCACCTCCCCCAACCCTGTTATCTTTGTGTCTGCATTGCCCATTGCAGAGCCAATGAAAGAGATGTCCAGCAATGAAGGTTTGCTATCCAAGACTGTCGTAATACAGGATCAGGGCGGACCTGTCTAGTCTGCGACCCTTTCCTTGTACCCAGTTCTACTGGGATGGGAGCATAGATGATCTGAAGTTGCTTAGAGACACTAGAGAGGCAGGGTGGGTGAGGTCTTATCTTCTATTGGACCAACTTCTGTTAGTGAAAGAGACAACCTTTCAAGCTTACACAGAGCTCTTCAGGGCTGGGAAAGGTACTCTGTGTCGCAGCTAAATACAAGGTGGAACCGGTTGTTTAGCATAAGGAGTAATGAGTGTGGTAAGAGACCATTCAAGGTGAAATGTGCAGTCATAAAACCTGCAGTCATAAGACAAAAAAGGGGGATTAGAGGGTTATCGATTGTTGTAATTAGCCAGAAATCCAGTGTCTTTATCAAGTCCATGATTTTTAGTATTTAGCAAAGTTATGAATGTAGGCTCCCCGACTCGTCGTTTGAAGGTGCTGTGCAGGTTTCCTTTGAGGATTCGGACTGAGAGGTCAGATAGGGAGTGATCGCTTTGTGAAAAGTGTTTGCTCATGAGTGATAGTGTTTTTGTCTTTTATCACTTTTCTGTGTGAGTTCACTGGAGAGCGCAATGATTTCACTGGTTTCACTCACGCAGTTGTTGGGCATTTAGTGCACTGGCTGAGGTACTCCACATGTTGTGACAGGCATGTGTAGGACCCATGGATCTTGAGTGGTGTGTTGTGGGGAGTACTGATCATCATAGCAGTGGAGATATGTCTGCAAGTTTTGCATCTGTTCTAGCAGGGTCTGGTGCTGCTTTGGTTAATGGGGCCTGGTCTGTGGGGAGTTTGTTTCTGATGATGACCTTGGCAAGATTGGGGGGTTGTATGAAGGCCAGAAGAGAGGTCTGTGAAAGTAAGTGTGGTGATCTTGTATGTAGTTGTGTGTGAGGCTACATTGTTGAAGCTGATGCTGGAAGCTTTCCAGAGTGAGTTTAATGGACGGGTAATGGTGGTTGTAGTTGTGTGGAAATTTGAGGGGGTTCAGATCGTCTGTCCAGAGGATGAAAATATCAGAGATGTATCTCAGGAATATCGCTGGTTTCATGGTGCATTTGTTCAGAAATTCTTCCTCAACGTGGTCCATGAAGAGGCTGGCATGCTCAGGAGCTGTCCTAGTACCCATGGCTGTTCCCATGGTCTTTGGACAAATTGTTGCTGATGTAAAGTTGTTATGGGTGAGGGTGAAAGGGGTGAGTTGTTGTCCATTGTAGATACTGGAGGTGGGCCGTGATGCTGTCATTGGGAGCAGTGGTGGTGTATAAGGAGGTGACATCCATGGTGGTAAGAGTGGCATTCTGAGGGAAGTGGTTACTGTTGCAGAGTTCCTAGAAGAAGTTGGTTGTGTCCAGGAGGAAGCTGGCCCTTTGCATGTTGAGTGGTTTGAGGATGGTTTCTATGAGTCCTGATATCCCTTCAGTCAGAGTGCTGTGGCCAGATACGATGGGTTTGCCTGGGTTCCCTTGCTTGTGTGTATCTTGGGAAGCAGGTAGATAATCCCCATAAAGCTGGTGGATATTCATGAATCTAAGTATTGGAAGCCAGCATAAAACAGCTGCCTTATTACCTTACTTGTTACTCGAAGTCCAAACAACACAGTTCCCTTAATGTGATCCAGCCTCAGGCCTCCATCCAGGCACCTACATAAAATATGATGAAAATTTCTGTAAATCTTATTTCATCATATAAAAGGGAGGGTTCAAGGGGGATGAGATTGAAGAGTTTCTCTTGGAGTTGTTTGGGGAAGGATTTGATAGTATCCTTCAATTCCTGACTGAACTGTGGCGTGGGGTCTTCTTTGAGTTCTTTATAGCAGGTGGTGGTGGAGAGTTGCTTGTCCTCATTAACATAATTGTCATGGTGGAGGACTGTGATGGCATTCCCTTTGTCTGTTGGTCTGATCGCTATCTGGAGGCTGGGTTTCAGAGACTGTATAGCTGGTCGAGTGATAGTCAGTGGTGGATGTGATGTTTAAGGATTTCACAGTGAACTTCCTAAAGCAATCAATGTAATGATCAAGTGTGTGGTTTCATCTGTTCTGGGGTGTCCAGTCAGATGGTTATTTTTGTGTGTGACTGTCAGTGGGGACCTAGTAATTGTGGGGAGTGGTGGTGTGGAAGAATTCTTTGAGATGGAGTCGGCGAAAGAATTCTTTTAGCTCTCCACATGTTAGTATGGTGTCTGGTTCCGTTGGGGGGCACAAGTTCAGTCCCTTGGAGAGTTGGGGGGTAGTCTTGATAAATTGATGACGATGGGGTTGTCGCGTTGTGTCCACTTGGGTCTTGGTTCTATGGTTTCTCCCAGAGATGGTGTTCTGTGGCTTGTGGAGTTGTGGTTGGTTCTGCTTTCTGTTTTGGATGGCTGTCCTTGTGGGTTTTGATTGTTGTTTTGGGTTTCTTGCATAATCTCTAGGTAGGTTCCAGATTTTTTTTTCCCCCCTTCCAGTATGTGGGAGTGTGTGGTGATTCCTGGTTTGAGGTAGCCCCTTCTGGAGTACGTAAGGTGCCAGAGAGAGTTCCCCAGTTTTTCTGAAGTCCTTCTACAGAGTTGGTCAACATATTTGGAGTTTTGTGTAGGGGCCAGAGGGTAACAGATGGTGAGCCCTCTGGGAATGATTTGCTCAGCTATTAAGTTTTGCTTTCTTTTTCATCTTCTTGTGGACTTTCCATGTCCATTTGGGGGACACTACACAGTATTGCCACTAGATGGTGCCAAAACTTAATGCATCTGTCCTAGACTAGCCTCACATACAGTATTGTCCATTCAAGGGTACAGGAGGCACTTTCATTCCTCAGCGGTGCTGGAAACTTTTACATTACAAATATGGTATGTTCTATTCGGAATGGAGCGACATTATTATTTATTTGTATTGCAGTGGCTTTCAGAGGCCCCCAGCTGAGATCAGGCCCCCATTGTGCTGGGCACTTCACAGACACATAGTAAGACAATCCCTGCTCCTTAAAAGCTTATGGTCTAAATAGATAAGAGAGATGCAGTTTTTATCTCTTCAGTGCTACAAACCGTGAGGTTCCATTCACAGTTCTGACCCCTGCATCCCCTGAAAAAACTACCATGGAGTCTGATTGTATAACAGGCCAACTTCTCAGGGGAAACATTGGGCCACAAGCCAAAACTAAAAGCTGCGGCTACAGATCTCTGCTTCAGAGCAAGCTGTGCAGCCTGCAGGAGTCACTGCAGGACTGCTGGAGTGGGAGGGAGGTAGGCCCTTCTGAGACACGTCACTTGAATTTGCTATTCAATTAGAAGAGACCATGAGCCGTCTATGGCAGCTGGTCTTGGTTTGGTGCATGTGTAGATTAACTCTGTGGTGCGATTTCTGGTGTCTGTTTCAGATCATAGGTTTCCTTACGCTGGGGAAATAGCAATAGCTGCAAACGCTGTAGAAAAACAGTTCACAGATGGAGCTGGCTGATATGAGATGAACACTTGATGCTGTGTAGCAGACCTGGTTTTGTTCTGGGGCTGGTGGTGCAAAGATGTCCCAGTCCTGCACCTGCTGCAGAGCTAGGGGTCAAAGCTGGAGTTATTCTAGTGAAATTGGTTCAGTTCCAAAGCTCCCCCTCACCAAGGCCCTCATCCTACCGGAAAGTCATGCAGGCAAAGCCCTGTGGGTTTCCTTGCAGGATCAGGGCTGATGTCCTCATATAATGTAGCAGGGATAGTCTTTTCTTAATGATAGGTTTCAGAGTAACAGCCGTGTTAGTCTGTATTCGCAAAAAGAAAAGGAGGACTTGTGGCATCTTAGAGACTAACCAATTTATTTGAGCATAAGCTTTCGTGAGCTACAGCTCACTTCATCGGATGCATGGCTGCTGAAGATTGGAATGGAAGGCGATGCAGGTTGGGGCTGGGGTGGCAGTGGATCCTTAGAGGGAACTTGCACTATGGCTAGCTGTAGGTAGTGCACACTGTATTAACTCTGGGCTCCACAGAATCATAGAATATCAGGGTTGGAAGGGACCTCAGGAGGTCATCTAGTCCAACCCCCTGCTCAAAGCAGGACCAGTCCCCAACTAATCATCCCAGCCAGGGCTTTGTCAAGCCTGACCTTAAAAATATCTAAGGAAGGAGATTCCACCACCTCCCTAGGGAACCCATTCCAGTGCTTCACCACCCTCCTAGTGAAAAAGTTTTTCCTAATATCCAACCTAAACCTCCCCCACTGCAACTTGAGATCATTACTCCTTGTTCTGTCATCAGCTACCACTGAGAACAGTCTAGATCCATCTTCTTTGGAACCCCCTTTCAGGTAGTTGAAAGCAACTATCAAATCCCCCCTCATTCTTCTTTTCCGCAGACTAAACAATCCCAGTTCCCTCAGCTTCTCCTCATAAGTCATGTGTTCCAGTCCCCTAATCATTTTTGTTGCCCTCCGCTGGACTCTTTCCAATGTTTCCACATCCTTCTTGTTGTGTGGGGCCCAAAACTGGACACACTACTCCAGATGAGGCCTCACCAATGTCTCACCATCTCCCAAAATGTATGGGTTAGGTCTGTCTGTCCCACAGTGCTTTGCTGTGCTAACCCAGGTGGTTGTGTCCCTGCCTCCCCTCAGCCAGCAGAGGAGAAGGAGCAGCTGCTGCAAAATGACGAGTACCAGGAGACAATGGTGGAATCCACCTTCATGTACCTGACCCTCGACCTCCCCACTGCTCCGCTGTACAAGGATGAGAAGGAGCAGCTGATCATCCCCCAGGTGCCGCTCTTCAACATCCTGGCCAAGTTCAACGGCATCACTGAGAAGGTAACTCCGCCCCTTCCCTGACTCTCCTTCTGAGAAGTGGGACTGTTCTTAATGTTTCCTCTGAATAGTGTGGGGGTGCCTCAGTTTCCCCTAGGCAGTTCTTAAGTATCTAGGGGGTGGAGTAAGGGTGTATGATCATTGCAGAGCCCTAGAGGGCAGGTGTGTGCAGGAGTCTGGACACAGAGAATGGCCGACACCCTGTTTCCTGGCAACTGATGGCCTGGGCCCTTCCCCCCTGCAAGGTGAGAGCTGAAGGGTTGGAGAACAAAGGAATCAGGTGACCACCTGGCCCGGGAAAGGAACAAAGCCAGAGGAGGAGGGGCTGGAGGGAGTTTTCAGTTTGGGGCTGGCTGGGACATGGAGTGAAGTGCAGACGTGGTTGTCTGGCTCACTGCCCCCCAAAATGGACCCAGCTGAGGGGTCCCGTTCTCTGCACCTGCAAGCTCTGTTTTAGACCATGTTCCTGTCGTCTAATAAACCTTCTGTTTTACTGGCTGGCTGAGAGTCACGTCTGACTGCGAAGTTGGGGGGCAGGACCCTCTGGCTTCCCCAGGAGCCCCGCCTGAGCGGACTCGCTGGGGGAAGCGCATGGAGGGGCAGAGGATGCTGAATGCTCCGAGGTCAGACCCAGGAAGGTGGAAGCTGTGTGAGCTGTGTGTCCTGCAGACAGGCTGCTCACAGAAAGGCGACTGCCCCAGAGTCCTGACTGACTTCATGGGGAGCAGTTCCAGAGCATCGCCCAGGGACTCCGTGACACTCCTGCACTGCTGCCCTCCTGCGTCTAGAGGCACACTTCCCTGCTGCCTGTCCCTATTAGACGCTTCTGCTCTGCAGTGCAGCTTGTGTTTGGGGGGCAGCAACAAATGTGCTAAGGCGCCTGGCAGATCTAAGGCAGCATTGTTGGTGCTGGTAGCGTGGAGTGAGGGCTGGTGTGCTCTCCTATCCGTGTGGTACCTCTGCCCTGGCCATGTGTGGGTCTCTGGTTGCTGAGGGTTGTGTGTCTCTGTTCTTGCTCCAGGAGTATAAAACCTATAAGGAGAATTTCCTCAAGCGTTTCCAGCTGACCAAGCTGCCTCCCTACCTCATCTTCTGCATCAAGAGGTTCACCAAGAACAACTTCTTTGTGGAGAAGAACCCCACTATCGTCAACTTCCCCATCACGTAAGTACCAGCTGGGGGGGGCTGCAGCTCCGTCTGTGCTTTCTATAGAAAACCCCTGGCTCTGGGAGCTGCGGCACTCACTCTGAGAACAGAGTTCGTCTGCAGGGGATGAGCCCCAATGCAGCCCGTCTCCAGGTGGCAGCAGATGGGCGTTGGCGCCTGAACGGCGCTGCCAGGAGCTGGTGCAGATTACACCCTTGTGGGATATATTGGTTGGGTGCTCCCTGATCCTCTAAGGATTCCCTCCAGGCGTTGGTTAGCAGCTAGGCCTGTTTGGCTAGAAACATATTACTTACATGGACACTCGACCCTGGCAAACAGCCCTGTTTAGCAAACACTCACTCTGTACAGGCCATGCAGGCGTGCTGATACCAAGCACTGAGTTGTGATGGAAGGAGTGGCTTGTGGGTGAGCACAGGACTTGGACTCTGGATACCTGAGATCAGTTCCCGGTTCTGCCACAAACTCCCTGTGTGACCCTGGGCAAATCCCTTCCTTTGCTGTGCCTCAGTTTCCTCTTCTGTAAAATGGGTGATCCTTCCCTGCCTCCTAGGGGTCTGTTGAGGATGACCTCAGCACTGTCTGGGGGGGGACTGTAGATACAGACACCAATGGAGCTCAGCCGTGTGAGGTCTTGTTTGGGCCCCTCTTGGCTGCAGTCCCACGTGCAGTCAGCTATTCTGCACCTGGAGCTTGTAGGCCGGCGTGTTGTGCGTCCATGTGGAGCTGACCTTTATACATCCTCCGGAGTGGAACTCCTTGTTTGAATGGGTGCTAGGGCAGGGGTGGCACAACGCATCCAGTTATGACTAACGGGGAACATGGCGTTTGGCTACTGCCCTTTTCTGGTGGCCAGAAAAGTCGTCTTTCTCTTTTGCTTTGAGTATTAAAAATGATCTGTGCAGCTTCCAACTGAACTGTGCAGACTGGTCTTGGCCAGAGCATATCCTCCCTCCTTGTTCTAGAGCAGTGCTGGGTTTTCTTCTGTGTGCTGGTGATCCAGCCTTGCATGGCAACAGAAGAGACAGGCTCGGCAATAAGTGACTCCATGAGGAAAGCTGGGTGCTTTGTTCTGATTTACATGAATGTGGGGCTGACAGCTTGGTGACTGCAATCTCAGGTAGCTAAGGAGCTGGCCCCCGGGGCATCAGCATGCAATGTACAGGGGCACACTGGAACTCCCTGCCTTTTCAGGGCCTAGTGCAGCTTGCCCCTTGCACTCACAATGCTGCTGTTCCTCCTGCTGCAGGAACGTGGATCTCCGGGAGTACCTGTCTGAGGAGGTGCAGGCCGTGCACAAGAACACCACCTATGACCTTATCGCCAACATCGTGCATGATGGGAAACCCACCGAGGGCTCCTACAGAATTCACGTGCTGCATCACGTGCGTGACCGAAGGGGTGGGGTTCAGTGTCTGCTGGACACTGTGGGGGCTGGAGTAGCATGCACAGCTCCCCTCGTCCCTGCTAGCCCAGTGGCTTGCAGTGTTCCCTTGGGGTGTGACTGCTCCAGTCTCTGGGGGATTTAGCCCACGCAGAGGATGGCTGACACTAACTCGCTGCCCAAGGCTGATCTCTCGCAGCTGTTGTAGCCGGGAGGTGAGGAGCTCTCCCCAGTTCGTTCTCCAGCCTGCACAGCAGCCGAGGGCAGCACTTAGGGCTTGCCCCAGCAACTCTGCTCCCTGAATAGCCCCACAACTGACCTCAGGTAGCAGCTGGCCATAACCTGCTCCCCCAGTCCAGACGCATCTTGCTGCGATGTGCTGGGAAAGCAGTTTGCCCGCCCCTGGGCTTCTGTGCTTGTTGCTTGGTGCCAATATGGATGATTGCTCGGGTAGCTGGGGATGAACTTCCTAGTGCATGCTTTGCTCTGTTGCTATGGCGAGGCTCAAAGCAAGAGGCTGGGCAGAGTGGATCTCTGGCACCATGCTGGAGCCTGGTGTGTCAGAACTAGCGCCATGGTAAGACCTGCTGTCACAACTCTCCTCACCCCTTTTGCAATGGCTTTTGGCAGGGCACGGGCAAGTGGTATGAGCTGCAAGACTTACAGGTGACCGATATCCTGCCCCAGATGATAACGCTCTCAGAGGCCTATATCCAAGTAAGTGCACTGTTCCCTTCAGCGCCGGGCTGTCTATTCCACTGCATGGGGTGACTCGTTCTACATCTGAGGGAATATACAAATCCCTGGTGACCTGACCAGGTGAGCTCTGCTGGCTTTCCTGCTGTCCCAGGTCTCTGCACAGCACAGCAGATGTGAGTTGCTTTTGCAGAGCTATTTAAAGCAAACTTGCTTTGCCGCAGCTGCTCTAGCATGGTGCACAGGCTGAGGCCCTCGGGGAAGGAAGTGGTGGTCCCTGTGTGAGAAGGAGGGCTGTGTGTGTGATGAGTCATTCAGCGCCTATGGTAAGTGCTGACCCCATGGTGCAATGATGGGACATGGGGGAGGCGTTGTTGTCACACCTGTGCTGGTGGTCATGTTCCTGTGCCTCTCATGCAGCATGCCCGTGATATGGACAGTGCTGTTGCACTCTGGGATGCGGCGGCAGCCCATGGGCTCTGGTCAGCAAGTCAGTAATGACTTAATGGGATAAATGATGTGGTAGAACAAAGGTGTGGGGATGATAAACTTCTCAGGCAGGCAGCATTTGAGTCCCTGCACACAGAGGGGCCTACAGCAGCCTTGTGTGTCCTGAGGCAGGGAGTGGCAGCCTGAATTTAGCAAGTGGAACTCAAAGTAATACTTAGCGCTTCTCATCTGTACAGCCCAAAGGGTGGCTGGATTGCCCAGTGGTCAGGTCACTAGCCTGGGGCTAAGGAGAGCCAAGTTCAATTCCTGGCTCTATCACAAACTCACAAGAATGGCCAGACTGGGTCAGACCCATGGTCCATCTAGCCTAGTGTCCTGTCTTCTGACAGTGGCCAGTGCTAGGTGCTTCAGAGGGAATGAATAGAAAAGGGCAATTATTGAATGATCCATTCCCATCATCCAGTCCCAGCTTCTGGCAGTAAAAGGCTTAGGGAGTTGCGTCCCTGACCATCTTCGCTAATAGCTGTTGATGGACCTATCACCCAGGAACTGATCTAATTCTCTTTTGAACCCAGTTATATTTCTTTTGGCCTTCACAACATCCCCTGGTAACAAATTCCACAGGTTGACTGTGCGTTGTGTGAGGAAGTACTTCCATTCTTTGTTTTAAACCTGCTGCCCCCTTAGGGTGACTCCTGGTTCTTGTGTTAGGAGGAGGAGTAAATAACACTCCCCTAGTCACTCTCTCCACACCCATCATGATTTATAGACCTCTATCGCATTGCCCCCTTAGTCGCCTCTTCTAAGCTGAACAGTCCCAGTCTTTTTAGTCTCTCCTCGTATGGAAGCTGTTCCACACCCCTCATCGTTTTTGTTGCCCTTCCCTGTGTGTTTTCTAATGCCAGTGTACCATTTTTGAGATGAAGCAACCAGAACTGCACGCAGTATTCAAGGTGTGGACACACCGTGGCTGAATATAGTGACATTGTAATATTTTCTCTCTTCTTATCTCTCCCTTTCCTAATGGATCCTAACAGGCTCTTAAGATTTTTGACTGCTGCTGCACATTGAGCAGATGTTTTCAGAAAACTGTCCATGATGACGCCAAGATCTTTCTTGAGTGGTAACAGCTAATTTAGACCCCGCAGTTTTTTACATATAGTTGGGATTATGTTTCCAAGGTGCATTACTTTGCATTTATCAACATTGAATTTCATCTGCCATTTTGTTGCCCGGTCACGCAGTTTTGTGAGATTTTTTTTATAGCTCTTTGCAGTCACCCTTGGTCTTAACTGTCTTGAGTAATTCTGCAAATTTTGCCATCTCACTGTTCACCCCCTTTTCCAGATAATTTATTAATATGTTGAACAGCACAGGTCCCAGTACGTATACTTGGGGAACCCTGCAATTTACCTCGCTCCATCGTGAAAGCTGACCATTGTTTTCTGTCTTTTAACCAGTTAGTGACCCATGAGAGAACCTCCCGCTTATCCCACGACTACTTACTTTTCTTAAGAGCCTTTGGTGAAGGACCTTGTCAAAGGCTTTTTGAAAGTCCAGATATACACCCTTGTCCACGTGCTTGTTGACTCCCTCAAAGAATTCTAACAGATTGGTGAGGCATGATTTCCCTTTATAAAAGCCATGTTGACTCTTCCCCCAACATACTGTGTTTGATCAGACTCAAGAGATATTCTGTTGTTTACTATCGTTTCAGCCAATTTGCCTGGTACTGAGGTCAGGCTTACTGGGCTGTAATTGCCAGGATCGCCTCTGGAACGTTTTCTTAAAAATAGGTGTCACAGGAGCTAACCTCCAGGCATCTGGTCCAGAGGCTGATTTAACCGATAGGTCACAGACCACAGTTAGTAGTTCTGCAGTTTCACATTTGAGTTCCTTCAGAACTCTGGGGTGATACCATCTGGTCTCGGTGTTTTTTTTTTATTGTTCTCAATTTGGTCAAAAACCTCCTCTGCTGACACCTCTTGGACAGTTCCTCAGATTTGTCACCTAAAAAGAGTGGCTCATGTTGGGATCTCGCTGCATATTCTCTGCAGTGAAGACCCATGTAAAGCATTCATTTAGCTTCTCCGTAGTGGCCATGTCTTCCTTGAGTGTTCCTCTAGCACCTCGATTGTCCAGTGGCCCCACTGACTCTTAGGCAGGCTCTCTGCTTTTGATGTACTTTAAACATTTTTGCTGTTTGTGTCTCCTTAGCTAGTTGCTCTTCAAATTTTTTCTTGGCCTGCCTTATACTTTTACACTTGACTTTCCAGAGTTTATGCTCCTTTGTATTTTGCTTAGTAGGATTTAACTTTCAATTTTTAAAGTACCCTTTTTGCCTGCATCCTTTTACTCTGCTATTTAGCCCTGGTGGCATTATTTTGGTCCTCTTTATTTTATTTGAGGGTATACATTTAGTTTGGCCCTCTATTGTGGTGTTTTAAATAGTCTCCATGCAGCTCACAGGCATTTCACCCTTGTGACTGTTCCTTTTCATTTCTGTTTAACTAGCTTCCTCATTTTTGTGTGGTTCCCCTTTTGAAGTTAAATACTACTGTGATGGGTTTCGTTGGCATTTTTCCCCCTGCAAGGAAGTTAAATTTATGGTCTCTATTATCGTGTGTTCAGCTAGATTCGCCTCTTGGACCAGATTCTGTGCTCCATTTAAGACTAAATCAAGCATTACCTCTCCCCTTGTGGGTTCCAGGATTAGCTGCTCCAAAAAGCAGTCATTTATGGTGTTTGGAAACTTTATCTCTGCATCCTGTCCTGAGGTGACATGGACCCAGTCAATACGGGGATAGTTGAAATCCCCCATTTTTGCGTTTTCTGCTTTTGTAGCCTCTCTAATCTCCCTGAACGTTTCCCAGTCATCACCACCATCCTGGTCAGGTGGTCGGTAGTATGTCCCAACTGTTATACATGCATTGTTTAAGCGTGGAATTTCTGTCCCTAGAGATTGTATGGCACAGCTTGATTCATTTCAGATGTTTCCTTTATTTGCCTCTATGCAGTGCCATCCCCCCACTAGCGTGACCTACTCTGTCATTCCTATATATTCTGAACCCTGCTTTTACCACTTCCCGTTGATTGTTCTCATTCCATCCTTTTTCCACGATGCCTGTTATAGCGATACCCTCATTCAGGCCTGGCACTTCAGTTCACCCATTTTAGAATTTAGACGTGTAGCATTTGTATAGAAGCACTTGTTCATTTTGTCAATACTCAGCTGGTTGTGTTTAAATGGGACTCAGTAATGTGTGACTGTTCCTCACTAGCTCCTGTCTGTGCTCTACCAACTCCCTTCCTATCCTCTCTACTAGGATATGGAGCTCTCCCTTCCCTAAGGGGGTGAATGTATTGAAGGGGGAAATCCCTGGGCAAGTTATTTGATGTTCTCAGTTCCCCATCTGCAGAGGGGCACTGCCTGGCCTTGTGGCGGTGAGAGGATATGTACCCTCTAGATTGTGAAGTGCTTGGATACTGTGGTGACGGGGCCCAGATAAGAACTGCAGGGGTTAGTGAGGGAGTATCCCCATTTTACAGAAGGGGAAACTGAGGCACAAGTGCCTTGCCCAAGGTCACTCGGAGTCAGCTTTAGTCAGTAGCAGAGCCTGGCTTTCCTGACTGCCGCCCTGTGCCTTTTCCACTCGGCCATGCTGCCTTCCTGAGCTCTGCTGAGGGCAGGAAATGAACCCCAAAGTGATGGGTTTCTTTTCTCTTTGCAGATCTGGAAGAGGCGGGATGAGGATGAGACCAACCAGCAGGGGGCGTGAGAGGAGAGCGGAGTGCCAGAGTTGTTTTCCACCATCCTCTCCCGGGTTTCGGGGGAGAGACTGGGATGCTGCCTGCCACCCGCAGCTGGATGGTGCTTCTCATCCCTGGTCTAGCACAATCCACAGTACGTGCCAGCAGGACTCAGCCCGATCAGCTTCTCCACCAGCCTCTGAGGGCACAGTGGGATGGAGTCTTGCATCACCCAGTGCCCTTTTGCTGCTCAGCTGCTCTCTGGCTGCGCACAGGCCCCAGCAAACACTGGCCTGTGTTGCCCGTGGCAGAGGAAGCCGATCTCGGCTATCGCAGGCAGCTGTCTGTCTGGAAAACTCTTCAGGGAACCCAGGCTGTTCCCCTCATTTCATGTCTCACTGACGTCCCCATTCCAGCTGCACTGCCGCTGGCTGGTGGCTGGAGCAGACCGTGCCCCGGGCACAGTGACTAGCGAGGCCTGGAGCAGGAACGGCCCCTCTTCTACTTGCCAGTTCTGCTTCCTCATATGCATTAAAGGAGTTCAGGCCTGTTTTTTATTTCCCTCGCCTGGCCTCATTGCTTCTGAAATCCCATCTGTTCCGTGCACCTGCTTCTGTCTCCACTCAGGAGTTGCGGCCAAGCCCCTGTGCTGCCCCACAGCGGTGGGTGGGGCCAGGAGGAGTGTGGGATCTCACACACCCTGTCAGAGCGCTGCCATTGGCTGCTGGAGTTTGGCAGGGCTTTCCCACCTAGCCCAGCTTCTCTTCGAGTGCCTCCTTTACAAACTGCCCAAGCGCATCCTCTCCCCTCCTCTTCTAAACGAGGCACAACTCCTTTCCCTGGATCCAGGGTCTCCCCTTAAGGATCGTGAGAGGGCCCCTCTCCGCTCCCAGCTCCCATTTTCCTAGGGAGCCAGCAGGAGCCAGACCCTCCCAGGTATTTGGGTACCAAACTCCTATTGAAATGGATGGGACTCAGGCACCCCAGTACCCTTGGGGGGCTGGGCGTAGCTCCCCTAACTGCTCTCGGCCTCTTCCTGTTGTGCGCCTGTCTCCCCTGGAGAAGGTGCTGGTGGGGTGTGGGGGCGCCCTTCAGAAGGGGAGGAGCGCTCGCCCACCACATCTGAGGGGGTCAGAGTGGAACCAAACCGCTGGGGTCTCTTTGAAGCGGTCCCACGGTCTCTTTGAAGCGGTCCCACGAGCCTGTTGATGGAAAAGTCTCAGCTGCTGATGGTGGGAGATAGCAGGTGGAAGCTGGTCACTGTGGCTTTAGCAAGTCAGAAGTGACAGGGCTGTTTGTGTCAGTATGGAAACAAAGGCACGTAACCCTTTTGCTGCTGCATGTTGGAGACTCTGCAGAGGCAGGCCCTGGAGGAGCCCTGCGGCGGGGGGTGCGTGTATGGAGCGTATCCGCTCAGGAGGCTGCTCCTGAGGCCTGCTGCCTTCCCTCTGCCACTATGTAAATGGCCTGCTTTCCTGCCCAGCCTCTGCTTCCTGTGTATGGCTCTGGGTTCCCAGGGCATGGGAAGGGTGGGCAGAGGATGATGGGACACATTCAGGGCTTGGTGGCAGTAAGTGTGAGAACTGTCCTTCCTGTGTTTAAGCCAGCAATTCCCCTACCCTCTTGGTTTCACCCTGTTGTGCTATAATCCTCCTCTTAGGCCTTGTTCCTGCTCCGGTGTAATCGAAGGTGTGGTTTGACACTGGTTTCAGACGGCACTGTGGGCACTTGCTTTGAGAGAGGCAGTGTGGCCTAGTGGATGGAGCATTGAGCTGGGACTTGAGACCTGGGTTCGAGTGCCGGTTCTGCTGCTGGCCTGCACAGTGACCTTGGGAAAGTCACTGTCTGTCTGTGCCTCAGTTCCCTCATCCTTAAAATGGGTTGATGGCACTGACCTCTCTAAAGTGCTTTGATGAAAAGCACTCGATAAGAGCCAGGATTTGACTCTAAGCTACAGGCTGTCCACAGGGGCTGGCACAGCTGGAACTAAGCTGATGCAAGTCTGTGTCTAGAGAGGCTCTTCAGTCACTGTTAAACGGGTGCAAACCCCTGAGTGTTGCTGCTCTTGTTCCAGCATCACAGCGGCTCCTTTCCCTTCCTCCAGTCACCTGGAGCTAAATCCCAATGAGCCTCTCTGAAATGGAAATAAGAGCAGCACCCGGCATGCTGCACTGGTTTAAATTCACATGTTGCATTGTGCTGGCACATCTTCCCCCAGCAAGGAGCTCCTAGGACCTTAGTGTCAAAGGGTCAGAAACTAGGTGATTTAGGAACCCATATCCTGCTTTCACAAGGGATTTAGGATCTTAGAGCTGGATTTTTAACAGTGTGTGAGCAGCTAAAACTGCAGATAGATGCCTGGTGGTTTTCAAAAGTGCCCCATCTGCCCCTTGAAATGCACAGGTAACTGAAATCTGTCCTGCCCCAATACCATCTCCCCCGGCTTGGAGCATCCGCTCTTTGTCGTGGTTGGTTCTTGGCAGGTTTTACACTCTGCTGCTCTGAGCGTGGGCGTTACAGCAGCTGATAAAGTTACAGCAGCTCTAACAGCACCAGTGAAAACCAGCAGGACTAGCCTGAGCCGGGGGCCTGGTTGGCAAATTGTCCCTTTTTTCACATACCCCCTCCCAAGTACAATCTTCATGAGACTGCTTCCTGCTCTGTTGTTTACAGTCACCGACAGCCGGGCCCATGAACCTACAGCCAGTGCAGGGAGCCTCTAAAAGAGGTGTATTCACCATCCTGTGTTTGTGGGGGTCGAATGGAAATTCAGCTTTACGCTCAGTGCAGATGAGCAGCCACAAGTGCTGTAGAGCTACTAAAAGGTTGGCCAGACACTTTTGAGAAAAAGTGCCTTCGGGGGGATGGCGTCTTCCCCAGCCAGGAGATCGGAGGAACTGCCTGCCGTGAGCAGAGGGCACCATGGAGGCCTGTTCAGACTCCCATGGGAAGTCGTCATGTGGGAGCCAAGTCACATGAGGAAAGAGGGCGGCCGAGAGAAACCTTTTGAACCCTTCGCAGGAGGGCAGGCTGGTGGCGCTCAGTCCCACAGAGCCACTGGAAGCAGCAGCCAACGCCAGAGCGGAATGGAGGGGCCTGGATTGGCCTTGGCTGCCAACACTGGCATGGGAAGGATGTTAAAAAACAAACAAACCCACCCCAGCAATTATCAATGTGGGGTAATAGAGAGTGAAGAGGGGACGTGAAGGGCTGTAATCTCACCCTGGCCAGCCAGTGTGAATCCAAAGCTTTATTTGTCAGGCACATTTCTCCATACAGCAAGCTGGAGCCTTCACCCACTACACCAAGCCAGGGGAGCAGAGGGGCTGACCCTCGGGGGTGGGTTTCTGAAGCAGCTGAACCTTGGGGGCGTTTCAGACGTGCGGTTGGTGTGCAGAGGCTGCTGTGGGTTTATCTCTACAGCGAAGCTCGGAGTGGGGGGAGTTTGTGTCTTCGGATGTGGGAGCCAAGCCAGCGTGTGGTTCTTGCTGAGACTCCGCTGCCGTGAGACTCTTCTCTTGTACAGCAGGCAGCCCCCCCTGGCTCCCTTCTGCCCCAGTGCCCCGTGGCCAGCGGGCTCTCAGTGGCACTGGGGCAAGGAATAGAGTGTGCTGTGTTTTAACTCTTCCCCCCCGGCCTCAGCCAATGGATGTAATGCCTCAAAATCTTGGAGCCAAAGTTTTGCAGGGGCCACGTCCCTTGGAGGCTGCTCCCTTTGTGAGGGGAGGGGAGGAGGAGGCAGCTGCATTGCACCCAGGCCCCTTGCTGGCCCAGGGGTGCAGGAGCAGAGCGGTTAGAATATGCTTCCTGCAGGTGCATGAAATACTGTGTCATGCTCCCAGTGCAGGATGGGATCTGCCCAGCCCCGGGGTGGGGGGCGTCTCCTCCCTGCAGCAGCCACGTCCCTCGTGGGGGGGCCTGTTAAGGGCACAGTTGGGCTGGTGTTGCTGGCAGTGGGAGTTGTAAGTGGACAGGCTGTGGGGCAGCTCCCCCTTTCTGAGGAGCACTCGGCGGCAGCCCAGGAGGGACAGAAGCTTGGCAAGATTCAGAGCTTGGCCACTTCTCCTCTCCCACCCCTGTCTACGGTGCAGTCCAGCCCTAGCGCCAGCTGCAGGTCTCCCAGGACCAGGGCCCAGAGTGCTCTCTGGGGAGCCAGCACCCTGCACAGCGACTGCCTAAGTTGCTCGCAAATGGGGTCTCAGCACGTAGCTGGATCTCAGCAGGGATTCAGGCCACGGCTGCCTGGGAGATGTAGCATGTGCCAAACGCTGCCTTGGACCCCCTTTATAGGCATGTGAGGGAGCTGCCCGGTGGGGCTGGCCTAGCCTGGCAATTCTAGCCAGGGGCCTTGGAGGTCTGACCTTGGCTCCGGCTCTGCACAGGAATCTCAGCGACGCAGCTCAGCCCAGCTGCTCGCCCTGGCCCCAGCTGGCTAGTTACGAAGGCAGGTGTCTCCCCAGCAAGGAGGCCACTTGGGGATCTCTCCAAGCCGTTGTGAGCCAGCCCACGGCCTAACCCAGCAGCCCTGGAGCCGCAGGCGTCACTCTTGGTGCACGCGCCCTGGGGCAGAGCATGGGTATGGGACAGCAGCACTGAGGAGGTAGCCAAGGCTGGCCGGAGAGGGGGTGGCAGAGGGGAAGAAATCGCTCTCGAGGGGGTGAGACTGAAAGTGGAGGCTGCCCTTGGTGGAGGAGGGGGATCGGCTGGGCTGGGGGTGCAGGCAGGGGAGAGTTGGCTCAGCAGCCTGGCGTGTCTCCAGCTATGCCCAGCCATGGGCCTGGCAGTGCTGCACAGCCTGGAAGGGAACGGGGAGAGGAGACGTTAGAGCCAGACAGGGTCCCCTCCCGCTCATGTTCCAGCTGGGGTGACCTGCCCAGGCAGGAGGAATCTGGGCCCCAGTGCTGATGGGAAAGGGACCCCCATGCCTCACGATGGACCTGGAGCAGGGCTTGTGGCCCCTGCCTGGAGGGTGGGGAGCTGGGGTGGAAAGGGGCCTCTTAGGGGATTGAGGGGAGGCAAAGCTGAGTGGGCATCCGCTGGGCCCTTGCCCGTCTCCACCTCCCCTGGCACAGTACTCACCTGGCACTGCTCGGCAGCCTCCAGGCTGGAGCACCAGTAGGCTGGTCCCTGCGTGCAGCCCTCGGCTCCGGGAGCAGGGCCCGTCCCAGCCTTGCACGCGCCCAGTTCCTGTGTGCAGGTGGCAGAGAAAACACAAGGCCCGTCAGCCTCGGGGGCAGCTCGCCTCTGAGTGGCGATGGAGGGAGCCGGGGAGGGGAGCCCGGCTGGGGGCCGCAGTAGCTCAGAGAGTCTCCCAGGATTTTCCTTTCAGGTCCCGGCGCCATCTGGCTGGGGCAAGTGGCCTGGATCCCTGGCTGGGGATGGGGGTGTTTGTGGCTACGTCACGTCACCAGAAGGTGGCTCTTACCTGGCACATGCTCTGGGGGTCCCAGGCCTTTGGCAGCAAGGTCAGCAGCCGGGGCTGGTGCTGCTCGATGAAGCTCTTGCACTGGGGAGGGAGGAGGCGGGTTAGTATCTCCACCTGGTCTTCTGTCCGTGGAGCCCCAACTCCCTCCCCACTGACGCCCTCCTGCCCCCCGGGGGCTCCTTGCAGATCTCAGGGGCACGGCTGGCTTCACCTGTGAGGGTCTCGATCCTGCAGGGAGAGACACGTGGGCCAGACCTCATGGCCCCAAGGGCGACGCCTTTGGGACCCCGCCAGGCAGGGAGCTCAGACAGTAGCACAGCACGGACCCCATCTTCCCAGAGAGCCCCTCCAGCCCTGCTCTGCCTGCCGGGATCCCCACTCATCATGTCACATCCCCCATGGAAACAGGACATTGGGGAGGAGCTGGGAACTAGGAACCAGTTGGGGAGGGCACCCGATGCCCCTTGGCCTCATCCCTCCTGCATCACTGCCAGCAGCCTTGGCACCCACCTCCTGCCAGCCCAGGTGGGCACCGCTGCAGGCCCCAAGCAGAGCTGCCTCCACGTCTGCCGCAGTGCTGTTCACCTGCACGGTCGACTTCGCCAGGCCCATGACAGTGACGCAGGCCTGGCACTCGGTGCTCCGGGCAAGGAGCGGCACCAGGGGCGGCTCTGCAGGGGCAACAGGGAGCAACGTGAGAGACACAAAGGCTGGGGCAGCGTGGCAGCAGCCAGGGGCAGGTGTGAAACACACACGAGCCGCAGGGAACGTCTCCCCCAGTACCCTGGTCTTGCCCCCGTGGGCCATCACAACCCAGGACCAAGGCAGCCTGGCCAGGACAGCATTAAAATGCAGTTTATTTATAACCTTCCCCCATCCCAGCATGCCTTGGTGCCACAGACTCCACCTCCCGGCATCGCTTCAGGCTACAAATCCCAGAATGCCTCAGTTCTGGGCTGCAGCCATGATGGCCTAGTACTGGGTCGGGGAATTGCCGTTCAAGGGCCAGCACACCCTGCTCTCTAGCGTGTCTACACTGCAATGTAAGCCCATAGCTTGAACCTGGGCTCAAGCCTAACCCTCCTTGTGTCTACACTGCAGTTGTGCTAACCCAGGGGCAGATCCCGGGACGCTGCAGGGCTGGCAGGTCCGAGCTCGGGTTAAGCTGGTGGGTCTGCGCACTGCAGTGTGGATACCAAAGCCCCAGGTTCAAGCACAGGTCTGAAAATCCTTAACCTAGGGTTAAAATGCAGTGTAGACGCTCCAACCCCCAAGCCCAGGAGCAGCAGAGCAGGGCCAGGGCCAGGACTCACCCGGGCTGCAGTTCTCCCCCGTGGCGCACATGAGGAGCATCCCACAGATCAGCCGTGGGCCCACTTTGTCCAGGATCAGGTCCAGCACAGTGGTGGTGTATTTCTCCATCAGGCCCTGGCACGTGCCACCAATGGTGCCCGGCAAGAGATGGCAGAGCTGTGACATGGACTTGGCGATGGCCCCCTGGGGGAAGGGCAGACGGCCTGAGTCAGTGCCCCCCCTCGACTCTCTCACCCCTTGCCCCCTTAGTGATGTCCCCTTCCCCCCAGGCCAGCTTCTGTGGCAGGAGTGGCTGCAGCAAGGCCCTGGGTAGACCTGTTGTTTTTTTGCTGGACATTTTGGAAAATTCCAGGTTTTTCCCCAAAAGATCCTGCCATTTTTTTCATTTTGTGGATGAAAAAACTCCCCAATTTTTTTTTTAAGTTAAAATGATTTTGATATCGAATTTCAAGGGTTAGATCAAATGTTTCCATTTTTAAAAGCCAAAGAACTTTGACCAAAACCCAGAGATTTTTACCCAAAATTTTTTTTTACTGAAAATGGTTGTTTTTCATAGAAAAAAATCAGGAAAATTCCATTTCTTTTTGGACAGAAAAGCCATTATTTGACTACCCATGTCACCCTCGGGGTGGGTCTGCCCCACTGCCCTGGCCTGTGCCCACTGGGCACAGATGCCAGCTGCAGCTGCCACTGCAGGAGGCAATTTAGGCTGCACAGGTGTTTCTCTGCAGTGTGGTGCCAGAGGCCATGAGCATGGATGCCTGGCACCATGTAAACAGCTGAGATGAACCATGAGCAGGGCACGAGGGCTGATAGCTCAGATTTACCCTGGGCATTGCTCTTCTGGGCAGAGCGGAACCTCTGCTGCACAGGAATTGCCACAGGGCACTGGCAGTTCCAGGCTCACAGGCTGGGGGCCTAAAGTGTCCTTCAAGCTGACTGGGAATTTTCTTCTGAATTTAGTTTCCAACCAAAAATGCCGTTTCTGCAAACAATTGAAATTTTCCTCATGAAAAACTCCAACCAAAGGGTTTGGTTTTGAGTCAGTTTGATGTTAAACTGCAGCTGCCTGTGGTGCCTCATGGGAGTTGTAGTTCTCCCCTACTTGGACTACATCTCCCATGATGCACAATGGTGTGCCGGCTAACCAAGCCATGTAGTGCATCATGGGAGATGTAGTTTGGCTAGTGAGTCCAGCCCCTAGGGGAGAGCGTGGGCAGGGGACATGAGGCACCATGGCACCCTGGGAAGACACAGTTTGGTGTCAGTGTGGAACCGACTCCAAACGAAACACGTTTGGAGATTTTCCCATAGAAACACTTTGATTTTTTGTCCCAATTTGGGAGCAAAACAAAGGGCTGAACTCCCTCAGGTCCTGATTCCTGCTCCCTCCTCTCCAGTTCAAGGATGCCTAGGGTTATTGTCCCCATGCGGACACCCCCACTGCCCTAACGAACTGGCATTGCCCATTGCCAGCCCCTCATGCTCCCCCTTGGCTCAGCCAGCCAAGCCAGGCTCCGAATTCCAGTCACTCTCGGTTCTGCCCTGGGGGCAGCCCCATCTCTGAAGGTGACCAATGGCACTTCTTGCCCAGCACGGGGAGGGTCCAGCTCTCCCGAGGCTGCGTTGGGATGCAGGGGACCCAGAGGAGCCATGGAGCGAGCAGGGCTGCTCCCCGAGTCATTTTTTCAGAGCTAAAATGCACTTTAGTTTCCTCAGGCATTTCCCACGTGGCAGAGCGAGTGTCCCCCACGCCCTGCCCTGGGAGCTCAGCCCTGGGCATCTCCCTCTGGGCTGCCAGCACCTGTACCAACCACTGCCGGCCGGACTGAGATCTGCCTAGCTCATTTCACAGCCTCCCGTTTGCTGCCATCCTGGGCAGGACTGGAGCTGGTGGCCAGCTTTGGGGTCTCTCCCGTGATGCCCCGGGGGCGCAAATGGTGGGCACAGCACCTTGGGGATGGTGGACTCTATCCGGCCGACGAAGGAGCGGCACATCCAGCACAGCGGAAGCGGGAATGGCAGGTCCTTGCTGGGGCCTCCCTTGGGAAAAGAGAACAGGGTCAGCTCCAGCAGCCGGGGCAGAGAGTGGGGCTGGCATCTAGACTGTTCTCAGTGGTAGCAGATGACAGAACAAGGAGCAATGGTCTCAAGTTGCAGTGGGGGAGGTCTAGGTTGGATATTAGGAAAAACTTTTTCACTAGGAGGGTGGTGAAGCACTGGAATGCGTCACCTAGGGAGGTGGTGGAATCTCCTTCCTTAGAGGTTTTTAAGGTCAGGCTTGACAAAGCCCTGGCTGGGATGATTTAACTGGGAATTGGTCCTGCTTCGAGCAGGGGGTTGGACTAGATGACCTCCTGATGTCCCTTCCAGCCCTGATAGTCTATGATTCTATGATTCTTTGAAATGAAGATGACTTTGCTTTGGAAAAATCCAGTGTAGATAGCTTAAAGGAGGCTTCATTAATTGATATTGGAAGTGAACAGTTTGTGTCTCAGGTCAAAAGGAGGGCTGGATTCCTGGCTTTACACAGCAGAGCAACCTTGTGAATAGACCCATAGACACTTTGGACACATCAGCTGATTTCTTAGTAAGCTCTAATGCATCTGATGCCTTGTGGATGCAGAAATTGGTAGCTTAAAAGCAGGAGAACTGTAGTTCGGACATAATGATAGAAAATGGTTGTGTCTCTATAAGGCACATTGTCCATGCAAATTACCTAGCTGACAAGGGAGGAGCAAAGTTGCTCACAGTGGCTGGCAATAAGAGCATAGCTGGCAAGCCCACAGACTAAGGTATACCAGAAAGCTCAAATTTCAACTGTCTACAAAGGGAAAAGAAGGAAGGCAAGCTGACCCTTGAAAGGCAAAGTGCCCTTACAGACTTGCCTCACTCATCTCTAAAATACCGAAGCCCCGAGGATGTGGTTAAACTAAGTGTCTATGTTAAGAAAAACCCTGAGGTAAAGGAAAATCTACAAAGGTTCAAAAGGGATATTGAACATGCTGACCTAAAGAATGATTTAGCTAAACAAAAGGCTTGGCATGACAAAAATGACTGTGACTGTACACTTGTGATAGATTTGATGTTAATATTCATGCTAATGTTAACTCTTGTAACTAGTTCACAGCTGATGCCAAAAACATGACTTATGGGAAAAATCCTCAAACGTGTTAAGAGTGGTACATGAAAACACACTATGTAATCGAAACCCTTATGAGTATGCTGTTTGAGTCAATAAGAACGCACTTTGTATTAGAAAGCCTAATAATGCTGAGGTTTCACAGCTAACGCCTATACACAATCCTAAAACTTTCCACAGCAGAAAAACCATTACAAGCTTGGACTGCTGTGCAAAAAGGGAAACTGAGGTACAACAACTCACCGCCTTCGTGGCTAAATGTCAAAGTCAGTGCTCTCTGAAAAACATTGATGTCTATAAAAAGAAAAGGAGTACTTGTGGCACCTTAGAGACTAACCAATTTATTTGAGCATCAGCTTTCGTGAGCTACAGCTCACTTCATCGGATGAAGTGAGCTGTAGCTCACGAAAGCTGATGCTCAAATAAATTGGTTAGTCTCTAAGGTGCCACAAGTACTCCTTTTCTTTTTGCGAATACAGACTAACACGGCTGTTACTCTGAAACCTGTCATTGATGTCTATGTTAACACATAGGCTCAACCCTGAAATCACTAGAGTGTTTGACAGAGTATGGACTAAATTGTCAACTTGGGCCAAAGGATGCACATTGGCCTTACAAAGAATTCAATATAAACACAGCTCATATCAATATTGGGAGGTCCTTAAGGTGTACCCAGGAGCTCCAAATACTTCCGTCTACACAAATCTCATGTTGAGGGTGTGATGCATGGCCAGAAAGGGTTAAGCATCCTGCAGGATAAATGACCCAAATTCAACCTTTAGAGACATGTTCGAAAAGTATGTGAATGGTAATTAGGGCCATTCCATGTTAGATAGGCCAGAACTTTGAAATGCAAACCTATATTGTTAAAGAATTAGAGGTGATACTAATTGTATGAGAGTACTCATATCTTGTTAAATGTTAGCCATGTAAACAGACAGTCCCTGTCTATCACAAACTTTATAGAGACATATAGACAATGACATTATTTCACCCAAGATTCATCTAAATGTTAATATTCCCTTTTGATCTCTGAATCAATAGCTATAGTGACAAAAAGAAAAGGAGTACTTGTGGCACCTTAGAGACTAACCAATTTATTTGAGCATGAGCTTTCGTGAGCTACAGCTCACTTCATCAGTGAAGTGAAGTGAGCTGTAGCTCACGAAAGCTCATGCTCAAATAAATTGGTTAGTCTCTAAGGTGCCACAAGTACTCCTTTTCTTTTTGCGAATACAGACTAACACGGCTGTTCCTCTGAAACCTGTTATAGTGACAAACTGCCTAATGGATAAATTGCCTTATGTTAATCCATGTAGCTAATTACCAGTGATGCTTAGGAAATAGGTCTACTTCAAAGTCTCCATGATTGTCTATTGTTCACCTAGGGACTCCGAGCTGTCAAGAGAAGGCCTGGAACTGTATAAAGACCCTAGGGTCCTGATTCTTTTTATCTCAGATCTGCTTGATGCTTCATGCAGGGGCAGTTTAAGTCATAAGACTGAGCTCTCCAATCCCGCCTGGATCACCCTGAATATGGACATTGGACTATAACCTATGGACTAATTCTGAAAGAACATTTTGGAACTACAAAGCTCACCATCTCTGCTATGAATCTGATCTCAGAACTGTACTCATGTCTGTATGCGTATTGATCTTTTAACCAACAATCTCTTAATAAATTTTAGTTTAGTTAATAAGAACTGACTGTAGCATGTATTTGGGTAAGATCTGGAATATTCATTAACTGGGAGGTGATGTGTCCGATCCTTTGGGATTGGTAGAACTTTCTTATATAATGAATAAGATTTCCCGTAACCCTCATCAGCTTTGACTTGGGTGTCTGGGTGGAGGCCTGAGGCTGGGTGGCTTTGAGGGAACTGTGTGTTGGCTTCTGGGTGACCAGGGAGGTGCTACAGAAGCTGGTTTGGGCTGGCTGGGTAAATCTAAGTTTTGGAATATCCACCAGCTTTGGGGATTGTCTGCCCCATTCTTTGCAGTTTACCCTAAGTGAATAACTTCAGTGCGGCTCCCCGGGACCTCTGTTACATGCCCCAGGGCAGGCATTGAACCTGAGAATCTAATTGCCCAAGCCTCTGGTTGACCTAAAGGACCCAGCTCTATGAGCTCAAGGCTAGGTAGCTTCCCTGCTGTCCCTCAGAGTGATGGGCTCAGGCTCTAAGCAGACTCAGGCAGCCAGACTGCGCTGGGGGGTTTCCTTGTCAGTCATCGGGGGTTGTCAGTGAAGCTGGGATACAGGAGCCCGATTCCATGATGCAGGGATGGGCTTGGTGTCAGTCTGTGTTGTGTCATGGGACACCCAGGGTGAGGGGGGGACGTATGGGCACCTAGGCCTGGCGCTGGCCCTCTGTGTGGGGGGAGCTGCCCCCAGAATTCAGCACATCAGCCCTGCTGAAGTAGGTAGCGGGACCCCACATGGCAGCAGGATCGGGCCCAGCTGGGGTGGAGGTGCCTGTACCTGGGTCTGACCATCTGGAAGGTCCAGGTGGAGACCTTGCAGCAGCTGGAGAACACACTTGTCCGAGCTCTTGTCCTGCGACGGGTCCGTGGGACACAGGCCCAGCTTGCCGCAGATGGAGGCGGGTTTCTGAGGGGCAGAGCAGTGGTCAGTGACATGTGGGGGAGTGGAGGCGGGAGTGGAGGGGGACGTGGTTTTGTGCCTTGGGATCCACAAGTGATGCAATGGGGAGCCCCCTGCGTTCTGGCACTGCCCTGGCCCCTGGGGCCGGGAATTCCTCTGGAGGGGCGGATCCCCGTGGTGCAGGGGGCTGTGGAACCCCTTGGCTGTGGGGTGTCTCTGCCTGCGCCCCCTGCTGGACCTGCCCAGTTCGGCTGCGCCCCGGTTCTGATCCGATCTGCCCCAGTGCTGCTCTCCTGTCTGCCAGGCAGGACTAGCAGGAGGAGAGACCCTGCACGACAGAGTAACCCCAGCCCATCATGAGGTGGGGTGACCAGCCAGCGCTGCCCAGCCCTTGTGCCCACGGCCACCGGCAGAGCAAGACTGGGGCTCAGTGGGTTGGGTTACCATCCCCTTGGCACAGCATCTGCCAGTGAATCCAGGGCAGTCTCTGGTGCCTGCTGGGTCCAGCAAGGGATCGGGCAGCAGGACTGGCCTTGGCTGGGGAGTGGGTTCGAGTGGGGTAGAGCAGACAGGGCTGGGACTCCTGGGTTCTAGTCCTAGCCTCTGACCCGGACTCACTGGGACCCCGGGTAAATCCTCCTAGCTCTGTGCCTCAGTTTCCCCACCAGCCCATGTCCCAGCTGTGTGGCTAGTGCTCCCTTGGGCTGCTAGCCCTTGGGGGTGGCTTTATTTCCTGGTATGGTGCCATCATGCGAGGGCAGCAGGGCCCCCCCATTATCTGATTGGCTCAGTGCTGAAAGTCTGGTGGCAATAGGGATCCTCCCCCACCCTGGGGAAGGGGCCAAGTGGGTCCCACTTACGATCTGCCCCTCCAGGCAGGTGATGAAGAGGGTGAAGTATGTGTCCACCACCTTCTGGCAGTGTGGCACCAGGATGCTCAGAGGCAGCAGGGTGCACTCATGGGTCAGGTACTTCTGGATGCTGTCCTGTGGGGGGAAGGAGGATGTGAGTGGGGCAGAGCCTGGGCTGTGGCCAGCCCCCCGCCCCCCAGGCCTAGCAGAAACTAGCCCTGGCCCCCCATGGTACCTTGAAGGCTGAATCCTTGGCCATGCGAGTCAGGATGGTGATAATTTGTCCGCAGTCCGCGCACATGTCCTCCTGGTGGGGGAGAGACCACGTCAGGGGCTGAGTCTGAGGGGGCTGGGGTCAGGGCCCCTCTGCAGGGCCCCAGCTGCTCCTCTGGCTCACCCCACACCCGTCAGCAGGGCATGGCCTGGGACCAGCGTGCCCAGGGCACCCCCCAGCGCCCCTGCCTCATGGCTGAGCCACCAGCCTCCCTGGACCCTGCCTCATGGCTCCCACCAAGCCCCTAGCCATGGCTCCTGCGGGGACCCCAGTGCCGCTCAGCTGCAGCCCCCCGAAACCAAGGGCCAGCTGTGGCCACCCCCCTTCCTGGGACCCGCGGTTCTGGCCCCACGCAGCTCTCTCCCTGCCGGCCTCCCGAGGGCTCCCTGGATGGGGCTGGGGCCAAGCCCTCTGGGGCTCGGGGACAGGCTGACTGCCCCCCCGCTGGCCCCGAACCCGGGACCTGTGGGTCTGATGGCACACACCTCTGCCTGAGCCGCTGCCCCCCGACTGGAAGGGACTGGCCCTCGCGGGGCCAGAGAGCAGCCCTGGCTCCCCCACTCCCCAGGCGGGTCATCCCATCTGGGGCCTGGGGAGTACCAGCCAATGCTCAGTGCAGGGGAGCTGCAGGGTCGCTGGCTGGTGCCCGGAGCCCAGGGCCTGGGGGAGCTGCTGGGGGCCTGTCTCCCTCCGCCCCAGCATCTCACACAGCCCGACCGTGGCAGCTTGCGGGGCATGGACGGGACCTGCCTTAGCAGCCTGGTTCCACCCGGCCCGGGCACAGCTCTGCACTGCACCGCACTGCACGGCCGTCGCCAGGCTCCGGCACCAGAACGTCGGGCCCTCGGCACAGCCCTGCTGGGCCAGCAGCCTCCCGGCCAGGGCTAGGAGCAAGAGAGGCCAAGGCCCGGTTAGTGACACGCAGCTGGGGCCTGGTCGGCACCAGGGACAGACAGCCTCCGTGCTGGGGCAGCTGTCCTCTCTCCAACGCTCCCTCCGTCCCCCCGTCCCTCCATCCTCGTCCCTCCATCCCTCCATCTGTCCCCCAATTTCTCCGTCCCTCCATCCATCCCCCATTCCTCCATCCCCCCATCCCTCTCTCCATCCCCCCATTCCTCCGTCTCCCCTCCTCCAACCTTCTGTCTGTCCCTCCGTATGTCCCTCCCTCCCTCCATCCCATCCGTCCCCTCATCCCTCTCTCCATCTCCCCATCCCTTCCTCCCTCCCTCCATCCATCTCTCCATCCCTCCATCTGTCCCTCTGTTCATCCCGCCCTCCCTCTCTCCATCCATCCATCTGTCCCTCTCTCCGTCCCTCCCAACCCAGCGGTGATGAGCATGTTATCAGATCCAGTACAGAACAACACTGGATCCGGGGGACCTGTCCATCCGCCGGCTGGGGGCTCGATCTGACCCTCTGGGCTCTGGGACAGGGCATCAGAAACTCTCAGACCCCTCCTGCCCCATTTGCTCACACACCGGCGCCAAGAGGGACCCACCCCACTGAGATGCCCTGGGGAGGGTCCCCTGCCCCTGTGTAGCCCAGACACGGACTCCCCACATGGGGAGTGGGGCTGCCCACGCAGGATGTGCCGTCAGCCCTTTGTTCCCCCTCCCTGTGTTTTGGGTGTTCGGAGGGGGAGCTGGGCGGAACCACAACCCATCCCCTGCCCCTCCATTCCTAGCCCCCTCCTCCCTCCAGGACACCAGTCACCAGGCCCAGGGGCGTCACCACTGGATCTGCCCAATTGCTCTTCCAGCCCAGCAGCAGCCAATGCTGGATACATTGGGGGAGGAGAAGCCCCAATAATGCACCTCGTCGTTGGGCACAGCGCTAAGAATCCCTTCCTGACCCCTGTGCCCTGAAGCATGAGCTTGGATCCCCAGAACTGCCTGAGCTCCTAACGAAAGGCCCCGGCGGAGACCCAGCCCAAACAGCCAGGGCATGCAGGGTGGTGATCTGCCCCGGCTGGCAGTGTTCTCTGGCTCTGCGTCTTCCACCAGCCTCTGCCGAATTCCCCACCCCCACAACAGCGTCAAAGACGGGACATGTTTCCAAAGGGGATGCTCCAATGTGGCTGAGCTGGCCGGTCCACACCCGCAAAGCCGACGCCAGCCACAGAATGGCAACTGGGCTGCGGGAAGTCATTGAAAGACTGTCAAAACCAGGTGACCAGGTCTGGCAGTCAGAGGTTTCTCTCCCCACAGCCAGATCAGCCCTTCTAGAGGTTTCTGCATCTCAGGATCGCAAAGCACTTATCCAGGGAGGGCCAGCAGCATTAGCCCCTTTTACAGATGGGGAAACTGAGGTACAGCACGGGAAAGGGAAGTTACACAGAGTGAGCAGCACAGCTGGGATAGAACCCAGGAGTCCTGTCTCCCAGCCCCCCTGCTCAAATCATTAGACCCTACTCCCCTCCGAGGGCTGAGGAGAGAACCCAGGAGTCCGAGTCCTGTCCCCTGGACTCTTACACTGTGAGCTCTCCCATGGCTAGGTTGCACCTGCCCCTCCAGGCTCTATGTTTCCACTGAAGTCCCACGGTGTCCCAGTGGCACCCTGGCGCTGCCCATGCGGCGGTGATGCAGGGGTTTGCCCCGGGTCCAAGGAGCAGCTCTGGCCCATTGTGGGGAGTGAAGGACTCTGTGGAAGGACCCCGTGGAAGGACCCCTCCTGCCTCCGCCCCATGCGCTGGGGAGGAGATCCAGGCCTGGAGGGCAGAGCTGACAGAACCGTCCCTGTCCCATCTCCCCCAGCCTGGGGCAGGAAGGTCCATGAGGTCCCATCTCATCACTCCCCCAGGGGCTGGGCTGGGTCCCCTACACCCCACTCCCCACGGCTCTCACATCTCAGCCCCCAGCCCTTGCCTTGTGAGACGTCCCCCCGCCTCGCAGATGCCTCCATCAGGGGCTCCCTTCATGTCTCCATCGCTCCCCTCCCAGCCCAGGGCCATGCACCCTCCTGGCTGGATCCGTGGGGCACCCTGGTGCAGGGGTGGAGGGGGGCAGCCCAGTCCCCATGGCTGTCCCTACCTGAGCCTCCGCAGAGCAGGGCGAGCAGAAGGAGCTGGGACCCGGGCATGCTGAGCTCAAGCATTCGAGCACCCGCATCCCGTGCCCCATTTATAGCCATGCTGGGCAAGGGGGGCCCGGCCCGGCCAATGGGGCTGTGGCCAGGATCACCCTGGAGGAGCAGGGGTGGGGCTTGGATTAAACTCAGCAAAGTGAGTGGCTCAGAGGCAAAAGTACTTGGCTGGGCTCCAGCCCTGGTGCCCCTCACTCCCGATCTGCAGCTCTTGCTATCCCAGCCCTGGCTCCCCGTCTCTGCCTGCCCCTTGGTAGGAGCCCTGTAAGGTGCCGTCTGCAGTCTGACTCAGCTTTCTGTCTGTGGTGAGCCGATGGGGGCTTGACCCCCATGTGACCTGGCCAAAATGCTCAGGGCTCAGTCTGTGGCTGAGCTCAGGCCTGGAATCCCCCCAAATGTGGGGTGTGTGACCCAGCCCCCGCGCCTTGTGCCTGTCCGAGGGCACATGGGGGACACTTGGCATGGGGCTCCCTGTGTCAGAGCCCCGGGCTGCACAAGACCCCAGGGAGGCTGGGGCGCTTTGGACTGGGAGTGGGGGTTAGACCGAGCAGGGCCAGACCCCCAGCCCTAGATCAGGATCCAGCCCCACACCACTCGGAGGCTGGCCCAGCTGAGCAAACAGCCCGGGAGTGGCCCATTCACCACCAGGCTGGGCCAGGGGAGTCGCATGTTTGCCCCTTTGCTGAGGATTGGGGGCTGTTTGCAGGGGCGGGGAGTGAAATGAGGTCACTGTTTGGCAGGTGCGAATCCCCACCAGCTCCGTATGCAGCCTGCCCCAGCCCCACGGCCCCATTCTACCTTCCCCCCCGGGCCCTGGCTGCCAGGCCCCTCGATTGCCCCGACGCACCCCCGGGCAGGACTGTGTCCCAGGCGGTCGGTGCCTGGCCCAGGGCACGTGCCCCCAGGCCTGTGGCGAGGGCAGGCTGGCGCCATGGAGTCCTGGGCTCCTGCTGCTGCCACCCGCCCCGCCCAGGCCCCCGCCTGCCCCACCCGGGGTGTATTGACATTGCCCCCGAGGGGCTCAGCTGTTTCGGCTGTGGGCGTTGGCCTCTCCCTGCAGCACAAGGGCCCTCAGGGGCCGGTTCCCGGCAGCCAATGGCCCCAGACCATGCCGGGGGTGGGGGAGCCGCTCCCGATCCTGGGGGGACCCCCGCCGGGTGACAGCGGGCAGCACAGATTGAGAGTGAGGGTCTGTCTGTGCCCAGCCCCCCACATACAGAATCGCCTTGAGACCCAGCTTCGGCCCCAGGGGCGACCCGCTGGCAGGAGTCAGGGCACCCCATTGCTCAGCTGGGCTGGATTGGAGACCCCAGGGCAGCGGGGAGTCTGAGCTGGCATAGGGCTGTGGTGGGGGGCCTGGGGCGGGCAGTGCATGGCAGGGACAGTGGCGATAGCCCCCTGGGAACAGGGGGAAGGGGGCAGCCCCCAGGGGGAGGGGGAGGAGTAGAGCTAGGCTGTGTGGAGGGCTCCCCCCAGTTAGTTGCCTGGCTGCTGAGTGGCGAGACCTGCACCCGCAGGCTGGGGGTGCTTGGCACGAAGGGGAGCCGATTTGCATGCAGGCAGAAGCTTTATTGAAAGGCGGGGCGGCAAAGGCAGGTTCCCGGCCGGGCGTCACAGCTGGGGGCAGCCCCTCCTGGCCGGGGCTACGGGCGCCGCAGGGCTCCGCTCTGCCCTGGCCACCCAGAGCTCAGGCGTCATCTGAGGAGGAGAGAGAGGCCAGTGAGGGACAGACAGACAGACTCAGTGCAGGGAATCGGGGAGCCTGACCCAGGCCGGACAGGCAGAGGGGCACTTAGGGGACTCCCCTCTCCAAGTAGCCCAGCTGATCTGTGGGGCCTCGGGTCAAACCCCCACGGCTACGTGTGCTCCACCCCTGGGGTACTGCACCATCCTCCGGGGCTCCCTGGGCAGAGCGGAGGAGCGGTGGTCCTCACGCCCCACTGGGGACAAAGCCACTGGGCTGGGAGTGCCCAGCCCTGCGCCCCCATGAGCTGGCTCAGCTGCCCCATGGCATGGCCCCAGCTGGCACTCACGGGGCACCAGGAGGCTGGTCCCTGGCTACGCCCCCAGACACGGGGGCGGGTTGTGGGGCCAGGCAGGCCTCGGCCTTCTGGGGGCAGGGGAGGACCAGCCAGCACTAGGGGCAGGAGGGGCCCCGGCTCCACACTGCCCCCGGACAAGGCGTCTGGTCTGGGGCTGGGCCCTGGGGCTGGACTCCGCAGCCAAGGCAGGATGGGGAGGCTTTGCCCTGCCACTGCCTGGACTGGTCCCTGTCCAGGGGGCACAGAAACCCCCAAACTTGGGCCCAGATCGGCCCGGCTTCCCAGCTCAGGGCAGCAGCCCCGGGCCCCACGCTTTGCTCAGCGCCCAGCGCTTGGTCAGGGAAGATCGAGCCTAGAACCCCATGGAGCTTGTGACTCTACCCCCCACAGTGCTGAATGGGCCCCCCAGGGATCTGTCCGTCACGCCCATCACCCTGGCATCAGTCCCCCACCACCTGCCCTTCCCCCGCCCCCATTTTCACCTAGTCAGTGTCACTCTCTGCCCCCCATCTGTGGCCCAGCCCATCCCCTCAGCTCTGCCCTCACCTGGCAGAGGGCGTCACGGTCCCGAGGCATCCACCAGGCTCTCTGCAGCCGGGGCCCGGTGCAGGCCAGGAACCTGCCACCCTGGAGACCACGGAGAACATGGGCGTTATCTCAGCCACTGCCACCCAGCCAGGGCCCAGTCCCCCGGCCGCTCACAGCCATGACCACGGACCCTGCATCCCCCCGCAGGGATCGAACCCGGGGCACTCAGCGCCCAGTCGCTCACACCTGAGCTAAGGGTGTAACTCCCTCCGGGCGCAGCAAGCAGCCGGCTGGTGTAGTGACAGGGGCCGGCCGCTAGAGAGCGACATGCACTGGGCCAGCGCTTCCCATGGGGACGGGTGCGAGGGGGCTGGGGCTGGGGCCCGGAGAGAGGTTGTAGGAAGTGGGTGCACAGAGCTGTGGGGGGACAGGGTGCTCTGCAGAGACGGGCTGAGCCCCCTTCCTCCTGGCTGCAGCTGGCAGAGCCAAGCCCTGGCCCCGCACGCCCCACACGGGAGGGCTGGGAATCCAGCGTGGTCTGTGTCTCCCCAGATAGGGGCGCATGGCGGCTGTGAGCAGAGAGCCCAGAGTGGGGGTTGTGGGTCAGACCGAGGGGGTGCTCTGCTCTGACAGCCCCCTGGAAGGAGACAGGCTGTGGGGGGCTAGGCCCGGCCAGAGCCCTGGAAATCAGCCCATGGGGTGGCTGAGCGGAGCCCCTTTACCTCCCCGGCCCCCGATCCCTGTGGGGGGAGGGGTGGGCAGCACATTCCTGCGGAGGGGGGCACCGCGCCCACTTCCGCAGCTGCCACTCTTGTGAAATCGCTTTTCTCCGGAGCGGCTCCTTTGATATGGGCAGGCTGCCCAGCCCTGAGCGCTCCCTGGTCTCAAGTGCCCTCGCGGGGTCGGAGATGCTTTGTGGGCACAGACGAGGGCCCTTCGCGGCACAAGGTGGGGCTTGGGAAAGTCCGGGGGAAGAACGGGGGCGGGGGGAGTCAGGCAGCTGTGGGAAGGGAGCCCTGGGGGGTGATGGCTCGGGGCACTGGCCTTTCACCTCTCGGTCACCGTGAGGTACCAGCGCCGGGGTGGGGGCCGGTGCCCAGATGCCTAGGTTCAATTCACGCCTCTGCCAAAAACTCCCTGGGTGAGCCAGAGCAAGTACAAAACCAGCGGGCTCTCTGGGGCCTTCAGGCCTGGCCCTGTGCCTCAGTGTCCCCTTAGGCAGGGCTCTGGCCCGTTGTGGGTCCCAGGCGCTCAGGCAGGGGTTAGGGAGACAGGATGGAGGAGCAGCTTCGGGGGTGGGGGGCGCTGGGCAGCAGGGACCCATGGCCAGCTGGGGGCACCAGAGGGCAGCAGCCCGGCCGCAGGGCTGGGGCTGGGTGACCCCACAGCTCCCGTGCCCAGGAGCAAGCCCCCTCCCCCTCCATTGACAGGAGTAGTACATCCCCTCCCCCGCTGGGTTCCCAGCCCAGGTGGGAGCAGGGGGCACCCATGGGCCAAGCTGGGGGAGGTGGGATCCTGGCAAACGCCCTGACTTTGGTTCCCCCAGACCTGATCCCTGGTGGGAGGGGGCGGGAGGCTGCGGGGGAGACCCGAGCTCTGCCCTCCAAGAGCCAGGGGCCCCACAGAGCCAGCCTGGTGCCCAGCCCCCAGCGCGCCGGCCCCAGCTCCCCAGGGGTCTGCTCAGCCGGGTGCGGTGGGCTCGGGCGGCCCCTCCCCCTCACCTGGGTGGCCCGGGCTCTCACACATGCCGATGGAGACGCAGATGTCTTGGGGCTCCAGGTCCTGGGCCAGCCCGTCCTCAATGGGCTGCACGTACCGATCCACCACCCGGTGGCACTTGCCTTCCAAGCCGAGGATGAAGGTGGAGCAGATCTTCTTTATGGCCATTCCCACGCTGCTCTGCGGGATGGCAGGGGAGCGTTGGGCAGGCACTGGCTGGGGCCTGGTGCACACCCACCCTCTCCCACTCCCACCCGCCCTTGCACACTCCCTCAGACATACCCACCCATCCTCACACGCTTCCACCCACCCTCGCACACTCCTTCAGACATACCCACCCACCCTCGCCTTTGCCCGTGCCCTCTCCCTTGCACGTGTTCGCCCACCCTCCCATGCCGCCTGGCACGTGCCCACCCTAGCACGCTCACTCTTAGGCTCCCCTCCTTGGCCCGTGCACTCTATGCCCTCTTGCACACTCGCTGCCCAGCAGGGGGTCCTTACCTTGTTGTGCGTGTTGGATACCATTCTCTTCAGCTTGCTGATGACCTTTTTGCACACCCAGCACTTCACCAGGGGTTGCCGCTCGTCAGCGCCCTGAGCCAGGACACAGCAGCCGGGTCACGTCCCAACCCATCCGCAGGGGCCGCCCGTTCTGGGTGCGTGGGGTCCTGGGGCAGCGGGGGCGACGGGGGGAAGGGGGGGAGGGAAGCGCACCGGGTCCGA